ACGAAAATTCAACTTCGGGTATTTTAACACAAATATTCATAATTTTAATTTAGCAGAAAAAATTCAAAATAAAATAATAGTATATATGTGCATAACAATACATAAAAGTCCTCCGCATGGAATGCACGTTCATTGAAACTCGTAACGAAAACATAAAAATAAATAAGAAATATTGAAAAAATAAATAACTCACATGCAACATTATTGTCATCCGCGCTAAAGCCATCGCCATCGCCATCGCCATCGTCATTGCCATCGCCACCCTCGCCACTGCCGCTGCCACTGCTACCGCCGGTGCTGCTGCTGCTGCTGGTGCTACATTCTCAGCCATCAACCGCGTGCCATATATTCATTGCCATTCAAGCATTTTGTTGTTACTGTTTGTTGTCTACTATTATTGGTAGTAAACAATATGAGACCATAAATTGCGCATATTCGAGAGATATACATAATGTTTGTATGTATGTATGTATATGTGCATAAGCCTGCAGGCGCACAAATATTCATGTAATGCATCCACTACTAAGAAAGCTCGTAAATATTTCTATACAAACATACAAACAACGGCTTTTGTCCTCTGTTTGTGTGTGTGTGTGTGTGTGTGTGTGTGTGTGTGTGTGTGTGTGTGTGTGTGTGTGTGTGTGTGTGTGAGTGTGATTGTATGTTAAACAACATCTTACTCGCCCTTATGCCATCCATTCTATTTAAGCGCTTGCCATTTTGTCGTTATTGTTAAATAGTATCATCGCAGATTCTCATGGCATTTCGGATTACCAAAACATTGCGTTGACTAGAAATAACATTTCAGTTATGCATTTAATGTTGTCTTTGCTATGGATTTTTGAAATTCTTTTCTCTTTCCTTAAATTTACTTTATTAAAAAAATTATAAAACTGCCACACGGTGCGTTGAAATTTCTATTTTTATTAATACTTATAAATGTTATATTTGCAAATTCAATTATGCGTTGGTCGTTAAAGAAAAATATTGAAATTTTTAAAAATAAATTTTAAGTAATTCTAAGACGTGGCTTTTCCACGCTTCTGTTTAATACTAAAAATTTCTAAAGTACTGTTTGGTAGTAAAAAAAAAATTAATTTATGCATGCCTTTTCGTAATAATTTATACATTAACCTCTCTGTTCTAGTCTATTCTATTAAGGCAACTAATAAAAGTTGTATTTAAAAATAAATTAATATGAAAGTTTAAAAAATTCCTGGAGTACATTGATGTCTGTGTTGGAAGCATTGAAATATTGATTTTATTTTGCTTTAAAAAAATTTAAATAGGTAAACATTGGTTATGCTTAAAACGAAATGTATTTCGAAAAAATGTATATAATTTTGTTAAGCCTTACCGGAGGGCCCGCTAAGAGGCATAAGTGCGGCCAACCACAATCAGCTCCACAACCACTTATTTCCCAATTGAAAAAATGGAATTTTAACCAGCCATTAGAATAGCCTTAAAAATTAAAATAAATACATTTTTTTCTTTTTTTTTAAATTTTGGTGTTGTGATTTTTCTCATGCAAAAAAATTAAGTATTAAAAAAGCGATCTCAACTAAATTTAAGCAAAATATTTACTATTAAAAACTTTTTTTGTTTTAAAATATTTAATTGGATATTCTTCTCAGAAACTAATATAATATCGGATATCTTTAAATCAACTAAAAAAGGCAAAATGGAACGATAAACCTCACAGAGAAATTTTGGAAAATTTACTTTATTTACATTTATTTTTGGTTCTTTTTTCCTCTCCGCAGCACTGCCACCTTTTATGTAATAGTAAATAATTATTTCATAGCAGGTCGAGAAGATGATAACGAATTTGTCTTATTAACATATTAAATTTATGATCACCACATTAACAGGCACTCGTAAAAATGGCCCATAGACTTATTTGACCCTAAACTGAATATCGCCAGCGTTAGTGAAAATGACGATACGGCAACATTGCTATGCCGCTCAATGCCATCGTCAGCAGTGTCGTCGCTGTTGCGGTGTGCTCGTCACCATTATTGCTATCGTTTTCTGTCGTTTTTCATCGTCTCTTACTGTCATTCATTTTTCTGATGATCCTTCAACATATCAAAAGATACAAAAATTAATGCTTCTAACGACAACCGCTCAAGTTGAGATTCTTGTGGCAGAAAAAGGCACATTTAGGGGTTTCCAAAAAGGCATTAACAAATACAACTTAAAATAGGAATGCGAAGTTATTGTCACAAAAATTAATGCGGTAGGACCATCTTTACGTGATGGTGATGAATGATTCACGGTATATAAAAAACATGAAAAAAATCAGTTAGTCCGGGAAATTAAGAACAGTCAAAGAAATACAGCTTTGATTGCAATTTATCTTGTCGTGTCATACATGTGTTGGTCTATGTATTGCATATTGTGTCTGCAGTGTTCCACTAACGGCTGATTGCTAAAACGATATATCAAAGTCGTTTCCAACGCTGACTCGTTGCCTCAAAAGTTTACGATAAACATTTAAATTTATTTTCTCTTCTTCTTTGCTTGCGCTTGAAAAGAATTCCATTTTGTTTTATTCACAATCGGGTTTTATTGATTTAAACGAACTTCATAGCTCAATTATTTATATGGTTTGAATATCAATGTGAAAACCCATAATTTCAGAAAAAATGTTCCCTAAGCACAAAATTTCTTGTGCACAGGATTTCAGCGTTTTCTCAACACACAACGTTTCCTCTTCAACGCTTGTATAGATTACCTGAACAAAAGCGAAGCGATGAAAGTAATGATTATATAAATTTTGACCCCCCAAAAATTCTGACCAACCCTGATCAAAAGATTTAGAAACAACTCCCCCTAAAATTAATGGATAATTAATGATTCCATAAGTAGAAGTTAAAGGCTTAAATCATATTGAACCAAAACGATCTTCAGCGAGGGCCATATTCACATAACAGCGATTGGCTTTGAATCTTTAAGCAATTAGCCATTTTTATAATGTTGTTAAATGTTCTTGTAATGTATGAGTGACCGCAATAGAGCTCGAATATTTACTATGTAACTTTTTGCATAACCGATTTCCTACCAATAAGAAAGCTTTTTAGAACTGCATAAATATTTACGTCATTCAGCTGGCATAAGAGACCAATAAACCATCGCACTGCAATGCGATATTGCTGTTATCAAACGCGGATCTTATATGTCTTACGATTATTTGGAACTGCTCCGGTGTGCTGTGTCTTTCTATGAATCAGAATTTTTGTTTCTTTTATAAATAAAAGCTTCACTACTTTATGTCGCGTAAAGATAATTATTTTTCAATCTTGGGAGATACCCTTTTGCTGGTCACTTCGAGCCTACGCATTATTAAGAGTTCCCAGTGAAGGATTGCAAACAACCGGACTGTAACGGATTGTAATGATGTTCGAAAGTTATTTATTTTTTTTTTTTTTGGGATTTTTCATTCAACAAAATTTGGCAGCAAAAACTGCCAACAATAAAAACGCTATCTATGACATATGCTTTTAGTTAGAGACATAATATTTGGGTCAAAAGCCACTAACAAATTGAGTTAATGCACTTGCAAAATATCGAATGACAACAAGCAATTACAACAAACACTAAGGGATCCACGTACATTGCACCATACAAGTGGTGAAATGTAACGATTTTAAAACACTCAAATATGTAGGCCTTTTAATGCATCATTATAATTAATTGCATTAACAACGTAATAACAGCTTGATTATGTTTACCATAAAAAATGTTAAACTGTTAGAATTTCACATATTTAGGTCATTGTGGCAAGGCATTGATTGACTTCATTAGTTGCGATAAATTTTAATAGGAAACTTGGTAAATTTTCGATAATAGTTTGTGAAGTGAAATTTATGCATCATACGATATTTCACGTATATAGGATGTGCGCCTAAATGCACACCACATACATAGGTGCTAATGGAAGTTGCAGGAATTTTGTCGATTTATTTGCAAACGATAATTATAGCCGCAGGTGTGGAATTTGATAAGCGCATGTGTTGCTCAAATTGAAAATTAATGCAAAATTATTGTTTTGAAATTTTTCATTTTGATAAATACATACATATATAGCTAAATTTTAAATTAGCTAAATTATTTATATTTATAATATTTGTGTAAGGAATGAATTAAATTTCCATGGCAGTAGTGAGGGTCTCTACCACATGATACAGGTGAAGTAAGCAATTTCAAGCTATTCAAAATATACATAAAAAAACTTTAATTTGGCAGGGTAACAGTTAAAACTATTCAAAATTTTCGATAAAATGAATAACCGTATATTTCATACAAGCGCAAATAGCTGGGAAAGCATTATTATTTTGCTATTGAAAACTGTCAAGAGAAATTATTCCCATTATGCCTGTTGAGATATAGAACAAACTGTTTTTTATTCAAAATTTCTGGTATGATTCGTAGCTTGAAGGAATGCATGAAAATTCAGTCCTATACATTTTAAATACACATTATTAAAGGATTTTGTTTTTACACCCCAAGAAATACCTTTCAACAGTTTATTAGTGAGGAAGGACCTATTTTTTCCGCTTAAAAAGATAATCTAATTCGGTTAATTTTTTAAGCGTTCAATATTTGTCTAAATTCTTATAAAAATTTTCGATTTTTTTTCTTCCTCCAATTTCTTTTAAAATTCGAGAATACGACATTGAGCTAAGGTAGTGTCAAAGTCTCTTTTTAGTTTACTTACTTCACCTGTATATGATCTAATCATGCCTCTACCAAGCAATATGAGATTCATAAATGGTTTTAAAAATACTAATAATTATTCGTTTGCATAGCAAAAAATAAATTAAAAGTAAATGCAATTTAAAATTATATTTCTTTTAATACTTTTCCCAATAAGTGTTCGAAATTAATCAAATTTACATGCTTCAACACCTAACCTTGCATTTTCTTATTCACCTACTGAAATTCCTTTATTAATTTAAATCTCTTTTTTTTCATCATTTTTCTCCACGATTATACAGGTGCCGCCCACTAATCAAACCAAACTCGAGGGCGAAAAGGTGATATTTTCGTGCGAAGCGAAAGCAATGCCCGGCAATGTCACCGTTAGATGGTTTCGAGAGGGCTCTCCCGTACGGGAGGTCGCCTCATTGGAGACACGTGTTACAATACGTAAGGATGGTTCCCTTATTATAAATCCCGTTAGCGCCGATGATTCCGGTCAATATTTGTGTGAGGTGACGAATGGCATTGGAGATCCGCAAAGTGCTTCGGCCTATTTAAATGTTGAATGTGAGTATGAAGGGACATTCATATGTATGTAAAAGTACATATGAAATCACAAAAATCAATTATGTTAACATTTTTTGAAAAACTTAATAAAAAATAAACTAAAATTGTTTGCTAAAAGTAATCAATTCATTATGTTAAAAATGTCTGTAAAAATTTTCGAAAAACCTTTCGTAACTTCATTATGCAAATAACAAATAGTTTTATATCCACGAAATTACAAATTTGAATGCACCTCTAGCGAAATTCTGCTGAAACCTAAACTCATATTTATTAGTCTGCATTTTCAGGATTACTAATGCAGGGTGTTTTTTTAGACATGTTGATTTCGACATGAAAAAAAACGTATATAATTTAATTTAGCCGTGCCGTTACACCGAAAGACCCGATTTTCGAGTACTATTTGCAATTGGCAGCATAAGGCAGATATAATGCACCAATTATTATCTTCTAAGGCGTTAATCGTCTCAGGATTATCTGCGTAGGCAAGCGACTTCACATAATTCTACAAAAAAAGAGCAGCGGTGCAAAATCGCACGATTTTGGAGGTTATGCCACATGCCCTCGACGAGAAATAATGCCCTCACCGTTAAATTTTCTTCCCAAGATAGATTGTTTCATTAGCTGAGAGGCATATATGGCATAGAACGAAATGTCGTCTACACCAATATTTTCCAATTCAAGCACGAAAAAAATCATTAATGATTTCCCCAGCTAATAGATCACACCAGGCAGTGACTTTTTGGGGTTGTATTACCGCCTCAAGAACGGCTTGTGGATTATCATCATTTCAAATGCATCACTCTTTTTTACTAATTTACCTGTTCAAGGAATAGTGAGCTTCATTGCTGAACAAAAGTTTCCTGTGAAAACCAGGCAAAGTGAACATCGCGTTTTAGGTTGATTAACCAGATGTCGGTCGGTGTAGATTATAGCACTAGATGGATTTTGTAAGCCCGAAAACCAAGATTCTTCGGCAAAATCCTCTATAAAGTCAATGAGCACACGTCGGCGAACTGTAAGTCGTCTTTGAGGAGTTAACGTGTTGCGAAACCGATTTAATACAACTTTTTTTTTTGATTTCTTTAATTTCATTTTATCACTATTGCTAACATTAAATAAATATATTAACAAAACAGAAATAAAAATTAAAACTCAGCGAAAATTTCGGGATATTTATTTGTTTTGGACTTTACCGTCGTCTTTTTATCATCCGGATATTTATCGAAATTCGACAGATCCTCCATATTTGAGATCACCGGCACATATGGTGGTTGTATTTGTTGATTAAGCAGGCCATACCAATCAACGCCTTTAAACCAATCATGGTTCTTGATATCCTTTGTGGCATTCGACAAACAACCGAGTCTAAATATTAATAAAAAAAAACATTACGAAATGTGAGAAATATAGAAAATCACATTTTTTTCTTCTAGTTCAAGTAATGCTCGTCTTCTCTACCGCTTTGAGGGATCCACCACCAGCAGACGCGTCACCAAATCCTTCAGCATTGGCGGAAAGGCGGCTGGCATTTTATATGCGCCGTCACAAATTTTGCCATACATCATCATCACGTCGCGATTGTATTCCGCAAATGGTGAATTACCAGCAACAAATTCGAAAATCAATACCCCAAACGCCCACCAATCCACACTGGTTGAGTACGGCTTCGATTTGATCAGCTCAGGCGCCAGATACTCGGGTGTACCGCACAGGGTTAGGGTGCGTGTTTCCACGCGCTACAAATCAACAGAGAAAAAATTATACTTATATGGAATTTACAAAATGAAGTTAGACTATTTTTCACACTCACACCTTTGCAAAACCAAAATCCGTTATTTTCAAATAACCCTTTTTATCAATCAAAATATTCTCCGGCTTTAAATCGCGATAAAGCAATTGTAAGTTATGTAAATATTCCAAGCCTAACAACACTTGAGCGCCATAGAAACGCGCTTGCTTCTCAGAGAATTTACGCACTCTGTGTAGAGCACAAAAGTGAATGAGATTAAGCAATGCTTGAAAAAATACGCTCTCTGCGCCACCTACTTGCGATGATAAGTGAAGAGTTCGCCGCCGTTGATGAAGGGGAGGCCGAAAATTAAATTGTCGTAATCCTTGCGACAAAAATCCATCATAACCACATACGGAAAGTCAATGCTCATCAGCACGCGCTTCTCGTTGAATATATGCGGCACTTGCTTCGTCTTCACAACCATCTCCTTCAACACCAATTTGGCTGCATAGTAATTGCCGGAGTTCTTCTCGCGCACTAATTTCTTTTGTAAAATTATTTAGAAAAATGTCAAAAAATTTTTCCTATTTCCGTCAATAAAATTTACCCACCACCCGGCCGAAAGAACCCGAACCAATGGTGGCTATTTCATCGAAACCTTGTAGACCTGTATCCGGCGAAGGCTTCATTGCTTCCCATTTTTTTAAAAAGCTCTCCCTGAACATGACAAGCACCATATCGTAATCGACTTTGCCACTGAACCGTGTGTTGATGGCTGCAATATTTAAATAAAATTAACTTAAATAGTTGTAAGCACGAGAAATATGTTCTCATCATCCTGCTCGTTGATGAAAAGGATATCGAGTGAAAAAAAGAAATAAAAAATCTTACGTTTGTTCGCCTTTTCAACAGCAATTATTTTCACCTCTCCCTCTTGGTTATCTGCGCCCGTTTCAGGAAGCAGCTCCATTTGGTGTGCCATCCTTGGTTTAATTTTTGACTTCACCAATCTTCGCTTTTATTGGGAAAACAATTTTCGAGAGCCTTTTTTCAGGCAAAGATTTTTGTATAAAAAAGAGTAAATCAAATTCAATTTTAAAATTGAGAATTAAGTTGGAAAATGTCACAGCTAAAAAATTTGGGGGTTGTAAGATTAAGAAACAAAAATTCAGCCAGAAAATGTTAATATGATATCGATACATACGAATGTGAATGTGAATATGAATACGAAGACGAATACATAAACCAATACAAATACGTCTGTGACTACAAACACGAATACGAATACGAAAACGAAAACGAATACGAAAACGAAAACGAATACGAACTTGAATAAGAATACGAATACGAATACGAATACGAATGTGAATATGAATACGAGCACGAATACATAAACCAACACAAATACGTCTGGGACTACAAACACGAATACAAATACGAAAACGAAAACGAATGCGAATACGAAAACGAAAACGAATACGAATACGAATTTGAATAAGAATACGAATACGAATACGAATAGGAATACGAATACGAATTTGAATAAGAATACGAATACGAATACGAATAGGAATACGAATAGGAATACGAATACGAATACGAATACGAATACGAATACGAATAGGAATACGAATACGAATTTGAATAAGAATACGAATACGAATACGAATACGAATACGAATACGAATACGAATACGAATACGAATACGAATACGAATACGAATACGAATACGAATACGAATACGAATACGAATACGAATGCGAATACGAATACGAATACTAATACGAAAGCCAATACGGATACGAATATGAATTCCTTCCTGTTGAGAAATTTTATCGTGTATTCAAATGTTTTCTCATTAAGAATAAGCTTGTTCCTTGGTGTTCATAATGTAAACATAGCTAAAAAACTAAATACATGATTCTTTTCTGAAAAAAGCTTTGTTTTTCTTTGGATAGTCGTTGTCATGCTAGTATTTGAATTTCCTTACTTTATATTTAAATCTAACCTCAAAAATGTTTCAATATTTGTTTTATATAGCAGAACTTTTCTAGTTTTAGTCTCTAAAATATTTTAACGCTTTCATTAAACTCTCGCTCTTCTTTCCATCCCTCTCCCTCAGATCCTGCCAAAGTGACCTTCACACCCACTGTACAGTATCTTCCCTTCCGATTGGCCGGCGTCGTACAGTGCTACATCAAATCGAATCCCACACTGCAATATGTCACCTGGACCAAAGATAAACGACTACTCGAACCGTATCAGATGAAGGACATCGTAGTCATGGCCAATGGGTCGCTGCTCTTCACCCGCGTCAATGAAGATCATCAAGGACGCTACACTTGCACACCGTACAATGCGCAAGGTACGCAGGGTTCATCTGGACCGATGGAGGTGTTGGTACGAAAACCGCCCACATTTACTGTCGAACCGGAATCACTGTATCAGCGGAAGGTGGGTGACAGCGTCGAAATGCATTGTGATGCCATCGAAGCGGAGGGCACACAACGTCCCACCATCAAGTGGCAGCGGCAGGATGGTGGAGAACTAACGGAAACGCAAAAAGTGCGTGTCAAAGTGTCCGGCGGCAATATAACCATAGAAAACTTGCGTGGCGAAGATTTCGGTTACTATCAGTGTGTCGTTTCGAATGAGGTGGCTACACTGATGTCCGTGACGCAGTTGGTTATCGAAGGCACACAGCCGCATGCGCCATACAATATCACCGGCAAAGCGACTGAGTCATCGATTACACTTCAATGGATGCCCGGCTATAGCGGTGGCTCTGAATATAAGCAGGATTATACGATTTGGTATCGGGAGGCAGGCGCTGCTGATTGGCAAACGATTTCGGTCACACCATCGGGCAGCACACAGGTCACCATTAACGGTTTAGCTTCGGGCACTACGTACGAGTTTCAGGTGGTCGGCCGGAATGTTCTCGGCGACGGGCTGATGAGCAAAGTGATGACGGTGCGGACATTGGGTGAGTTGACGTTTAATTATTACACAACTACTTCTATGCTTAGGCCGCAATGCACAATCTCTATATGACTTTCGCAAAGGTGGTGAGGGGGCAGATATGTGAGCCAAGTATTTATAAAAGATTCATTTGAGAAACAAATACGGCTTTGAAAAATCGAATGTTTAAAAATTAACAAACTTTTGGAATAAAAAAAATGATTTCTGTTGAGTTTTGTTTTTCCTAACTTCAATTAAGGATTTTCATTAGAAAAGTGATATATAAACAGTTAATACGGTCAAACGATAAATTATGCGTATTTGAAGGTTTCTTTAAGCTCACAAACTTTGCCCCGCCCGCCACCTTTGTACTACTAACTACTGAAAAATAATTTTCAAAAACCAAATTCTTGCATTTCTCTCTTTTCTCTTTTTCTACAAAAAAAAATATTATGCAAAATATTTATGTATTTATTTCTGTACCACTCATAACTCTACTATCATCATCTATCGTCTTAAACAAAAAAAATTACAAAAAAATCGAAAAACTAAAATATGTTTAATTTCGAATCGCCCAACATTCACAACAACAACAACCAATAAATTAAATTAAAACAAAAAATATGGACATTTGAATTTCATTGCAAATTTTCGAAATTCAAATGCCTTTAGAAGATGCCCCGGCAGCGCCACGTAATGTCAAGGCTGCAACACAACCGCCAGATCATATATTCCAACTCATGCCAGACGAAGCTGGTAAGCGAACAACACCTCCCAAAATAGATGCAAAATCGAAAAAAATTACTTTTCTAATAATAAGAACAATAGAGTTCTTACTTTTGGACAATATCCAACGACTAAAGCCCTTCAAAAAGTAAACTTTAAGTCGGAGGATTGTGCAATAGTAGTTTTTTCTATAATTTTTATTTCTTCATTATTTCTGTTATTATTATTTTTTTTCATTTATAGGCTCTAGAAGCTCGTCGTACTTTTTAACTTAGTTGTTTTCGTTTGAATTTATAAAAAAACTTAATTTAAAAATAAAATGCAAATGTAATGCTCAGAAAAAAAGGAAAAAGGGAGCAGAAAATTTAGTGAAAAGAAACTGACCTCAATCTGTAAAGTCCACAAATCACCAGACCAATGAGAAGAATGTTCAGCGAAAAACTTATACATGCATAAAAAATTTACAAAAAATGCAACGAAATATATAATAAAAAATTTAATAAATTTAACTAAACAAAATAAAATGAAATAAAGTAAAATTAAATAAAACAAAAAAAATTAAATTACCTAAAACTTAATTAAATTAAATTAAATACTTAAAATCAAATAAGATTAAATTAAGCAACTTAAACGACATCAAAAAAACAAATAATATGAATTAATATAAAAAAAAATAAAAAAAATTAATAACTTAAAATAAAATATAAAAATTAGTTTTTATTATTTTCAATTAAATTAAATAACATATAGCAAAATAAACTAATAAAAACCAAATAAAATAAGGTAATAAAAAATCAGATAAAATAAAAATAAAACAAAAATAAAATAAAATAAAATAATATAAAAGAAAATGAAATAAAACAAAATAAAAAAATAAAATTCAACTAAAAGTAATAACGGATTACAAAAGTCAAATAATATTATATATAAAATAAAAAATAATAAAATAAAATAAAATAAAATAAAATAAAATAAAATGAAATAAAATAAAATAAAATAAAATAAAATAAAATAAAATAAAATAAAATAAAATAAAATAAAATAAAATAAAATAAAATAAAATGAAATGAAATGAAATGAAATGAAATGAAATGAAATGAAATGAAATGAAATGAAATGAAATAAAATAAACTAAAATAAAATAAAATAAAATAAAGTAAAATAAAAAAAATAAAATTCAACTAAAAGTAATAATGAATTAAAGGAGTCAAATAAAATCATATATCAAATAAAAAAGTATTATTTAAAAAAGGATATTAAATAAGTAGATCGCATTTGCAGGTATATATTACCTTGCGTAGGATCAGGCATTGCTTGCCAAAGAAGCATACCAAAATTTCTTCAGTGGTTATAACATACAAATAACATTTATAAGTAATCCAATTCAATTAAATAAAATATATTTAACTATAATAATATTAACTGAACTTAAAAAAAAAAAGGAAACTAAAATTATTATAACTAGACTTTTAGGTTCTATTAATAACCTTTCAAACAAATTCTAATTCCAAACCTACCTCAGGAATAAAGTTTGAAGAACTCGCTGACAATTAGTTTTTATTTTTTTTTTACTATTTGACAATGATAATCCTGCTAGTAATTTGAAATTTTTACTTACAGCAAATTATTTTGCACGCACGTTTTACGAAAACTCGAAAACAAAAAATCTCACTTTTGAAAACTTGGAATGTATGAATGCCAAAATCTCCCACTACTAACCCTTTGCATTGTTCTGCCCACTTCCACAAAAACTCTCAACACAAACTTAAATATGATAGATGTGAAATTAGAAAGTGTTAGAAAAAATTAATTAAAACAAAAAACGAAATTGAAAACAGTTTTGAAATAAAAATGCAAATACTAATTTGAATGTATTTCGTTTTATATGTTGTTGTGTAATGCAACCCTGGATTTCGTGTTCCTCTGGCGCTGTTAGTTTTATCTCCCGTATAATATGTACCTTATTTGATTTTGTTTTCAAGTTAAAAGCATAAATTTACTTACATTTACCGTTTTCATTTACGCCAAAACGCTTGATTTACCACTCGTCCATTAGATATTTTTTGTTGCGCCGCTTTTTTGATATTTCCATGCGATTCCATTAAGACATTTTTATGGTTTTGCACAAAAAATCGTTGCACTTACTTCCATGCATATATTTATATTACATAAACAAGCATACATTAATGCAACATGCTACATGCGTTCATGGTCATAACAAAAAAAAAAAAAAACGAAAAATAGAAATTAAAATAAAATCGAAAAATAAAAGTGAATTAGAAAAAAAAAACAAAACAAAAAGTGAAAAAGTAAAACAAAAACAACAAGTGCCCTCAGTTGAAATGGATAATGCTATTCTCGCATACCCGCACACACACACACACACACACTTGCATTTGGTCGCATATATAAAAATATAAAACACAGTGACAGCAGAACAAAACGAAAACGGAGATGAAGGTAAAGCGGATTACGCAAGAAACAAGCGAAACGCTTAAAAATCCTTTGCCCGCATACAAACACGCGTCAATTTGTGCGTTCACACACGCACACATACACATACACTCGCAGCCACACACACAAACAATGCATATTTTAACACACAAATATACATGTAAAATGAAGTCGCTCTTACATACATATACATATATACGTATGTATATTTGTAATTAAATAAGCCGATGTTTGTTTGTTTCTTTAACAACTTGGCAAAGCGCTACTGTGCCAAGCGCATAGTAATTGCATGCATGTACGTACATATATATTATATTACCTACATACATACATATGTTTATATTAATGTGAGTGTGTGTTAATATGTACATGTTTCGGCGCTTGTGCTTAAATGACGCAAATATGTGTCAAGGCTGACGTAGCCTAGCACACGACGCACGTTCATGACTGTAAAACTCAACGACAGTAATAATAATTATCAAAACAACGAGAAAAATATCGCTTACCGTTAACCTGTCAGACTAGTCAGCTGTGCAAAACTGTCGTTTGATAAAAATGTGTGTCTTCATATAAACAAATGTAAAGTAATAATAAATATTTGACATGAATTTAATTTAAAAAAATAACTAAGAAATAAAGAATTTAATGACAAGAAATCTCTTCGATATTGTCATGATCATTTAATGTGGGAAAAATTCTCTCTACGAGTTCATTAATCTTGCATCCGTTCTCTTAAGACTAGACAGAGTGACTGAAAAATCGGAATTTTTTGTATTCACCGTTTGCCAGTAATGAAATTTGAATTACATTTTAAAAAATATAACAACAAAATTTCAATTTGCATTTTTTTTATAAAATGTTGATCCTGCAAAAAGATATCATTGACTCGTTGGAAAAATTTGTTCCAGAAGAATTAATAATTAATAAAAGAATTCAAGACTTTAGTTAAGGGGTATAATAATAACTTTTTATAACTCAAGTTAAACTTAACCTCAAAATATAATAACCGTCTGCTGGTTGAAAAGCCAAGTTGAGGACTGCACACCAGACATCCTCAAACAAGTCCTTGGGTAGATCCCTGGTGCTACCTGGCATATCTCAGCTACGTTTTATCAAACAATTCCTTTGTTGCCATAAGTTTCCTCAATCCTCTCCAAACATGCCTAGCAAGTTTCGTTGGTATTTGGCTTGTATATAAGACGCTTTAATCGGCTTCGCTGGTAGACATGTAATGAATTGGTTCAACAACGATATTTTGCATAGGAAGTATTCATGGCATTCATCTTCATTCTTCTGTAAATGCTCTTTATTCAGCTGCCTCAACTTAACCTAGCTTATGGAGAAGATATGCTCCGAGCTTGGTCTGTCTGCAATTCATGTTGTTGGAAATGCTCAAGAACCTTTAGTGTTCTTCTAGGGCTCACTACTTTAAATTATGGGAAATATTAAAAAATTTATTTATTTTGCTAAAAATTAAAACTTATTTTCAAACATAATAAAATTGGTGTAACAAATTTGATCTCTGAACAGTTTAAGCGGGTTCATGCAAAGTTTTTGCAAAAATCATAGAAATCGATATTCCAAAAGACATAGGATGAGATTTACCTTGACGAAAAAATCTGCCTTCTCTAAACATCAAGAAACCATGTCTTTTAGGGCCTTTTAAAGCGATGAATCTAAGTTCTGGATAATTCATAGGCTATAGAGGTGATTTTTGGCCATACTCTTTCCAACAATTCGGCCGCTATCTCACGAATAAACGCTTTAGTATTGTCCTCCAATGCGTCAATTGAAGCGGGTTTGTTTGTATAGACATAAGATTTAACATAGCCTCACAAAAAATAGTCTAAAGGCGGCCAATTGACCGGTTCCGAATGTGAAATATAATGTTTACCGAGCGCGCCTCTCAATAAGTCCACTGGTACGTGTGTGGAGATAATATCTAAAAACAATATAGGAAAATATTGCAGCTGCATGGGTTAGAAAGAACTTTTTTCTTCGAATTTATTAAAATACTATTAAAATATGTTGAAGAAATATAAAATTTTGCTTCCTTCGACAAAGCCTTCTGCACCCAATACCCGCAATCCTCATTACGTGCATGCTTTAAGTCGAAAAACTCACATATCCGCCCGCGTTAAGAATTATGGAAAAAGCTCGTGATTGTTTCGCTCTTTTCGGTTTAAAATGCACTTAAAATGCATGCGGCCATAACGGATGAAGGGCAACAATTTGTGCACACATTCAGCATATCATACATACACAGCCATACATGCATGTATGTGTGTGTGCGATGTAGTGCAACAAGGACATACACCCAAACATGCCACAGCAAGGCCCGGTAGAGCACAGTACACTACTCTGTAAATGTTTATATATGCGTGAGCTGCATGTATATATAAATGCATACATGCCTACCGTTAGCATGTGCGGCCATTTCGTGTCAGGTTGACCACGTTGGCTGAGTTTGTTTCTTGCTGCGAGCGGCCATGAACGCTTAAATAGTGTGTGTATGTGTCTGTGTGTGTTATGTGTACGCATTTACATGTATGTATTGTAAGCATTGAATTTCTCTGAATGCAGTTAATTATGGCACACACATCGTGTGTTTGGACGCATGTATGCATTATATGTGCCCGCACATTTGCATACACAAATACAGGGACAATATTTGATTATGCACAGGTGGCAATAATCGACCATATACATAAGTCTGCGTAAATATATATGCAATAAGAAATTTAATGGCAATCGCAGTAAAAAGTGTAATAAAAAAACGTTAAAAATATATTTGTGGGCAATAAAATGCTGCAAGAACGAAAGGAAGGTATGAAAATTTCTATCTTACCACACAAAAATCAATCATGCAATTTGCATATGTTTACTACATGCACTCAATTGATTTTTCTTCGAATTTCCTACAAAATCACACTTTTCTTAAAATTTTGTTTAATTTAATGCTTTCATCATTTGATTTAAGGAGATTTTCTATTAGCTTTTTTATCGTTTCAAAATTTAACAAAGCACACTTTCTCTCATTCTTCTCCAACTTTCAACGCACTCACACTTACACGCTTATAAATTAGATTTTTATTATACATATTATGTTTGCTCTAAATTAATGTACAATTCATTTTCATTAAATTGCGCTTTCATGTTTTGTTGTTTTTGTTTCGTTTCATTTAATTTTTTCGTTTTTATTTTATTTTTTGTTGTTGTTTTTGTTTTTCGTTTTTCGTTTGTTTTCTCTGTTTCATTGCAGACCTTTTAGCGTATTTTGACATTTATTTTCATACCGATTCGAATGGTTCGATCGTTTATTCACCGCCAAAATTAAACATGAAAGGTATTTACACAAAATTTGTTTTTGTTTTTTTTGCATTTTTTTATTTATTTTGCTTTGCTTTAAACTTACATAACTAATTTTGAACATCATACATATACATACATACTTGGAAATATATACAATTCTGAGCACAAGTAAGCGGAATATTTTTCTTTAAATTTTTTTCATATAAAATTTGTACAGAAAACCAATCAAAAATATTTCAGATTTAAGGAACTATTAAAACAATATTCATAATTTTTCTAACCGTAATCTCTAATAGGGAAAAAATACAACGATAAGCGATAAAAATATGATTTTAAATATATCAAAATGAAACAAACCGTACAAAGAGCAATCAAAAATAGTTCAAAACCTGAAAAATTTTTATTTGCTATTTAAACAAGTACCTAAGAGTATAAAAATATTTTTTTTTTAATTTTTGTAGTTTCTGCGAAATTTTTTTTTTTTTTAATTTATGGATTTTTTTTTCAAATGTTGCATTTTGAGCTAAAATATATAAAATGTTTTGAACATTTTTAATATACCTGGTATGGTAAAAAGAAATCCATTATTTTCTAACATATGACGTTCTTTATCTGCATCTCGCGTAGTATAAATCCGTTCGGGTTCCGCTAGATGGCGCTAGAGAGGCGATATTTTGTACTCTAAAAATTTTCATGACAGTTTTGTGATTGGCTATACCAGTTTTTTTGAGCGTATGGTACAAATGGACACTAGCAAAGAGAAAATACGCTATAATTTACAGTTACAGTTTTTTTTTTGATTAGGACGAAAACGCAAGCCAGGCGGCTGAAAATATGAACAGTCTCTTACAGTCAATTATGCCAAATTTTGGTTTCATTCCGGTAATTCCAATGGAAGAGATGCTCCACGGAGTGGAAGGCCAATTGTCGAAAATGTCGCTAAAATCATGGACATTGTCGAGTCCGACTTGCCCAAGAGCTAAAGATTGCTCAGAACCCCGTTTGGAATCATTTGAATAAGACTGGATACGAGAAGTAAAAAATTTAATATTTAATATTATGTAAAAGTGATGGATTTGTTTTTACTACACTTGATATTACGTTTAATTTTGTTTATAAAGAAATACTCGTTCCTGCTTTTGAAAATTATTTTGGCTTTGCAATGTGAAAAAAACTCGTTAAACCATCTAAACCAAAACTAAGAAGCCAATGCTTTTCAGAAAAAAGTAACACTAATTTAAGTAAATTAAATTTAATAATTACCTTTTAATGTACTTAAAAAAAAGTCTTCCAAAAATTCGAAAATTTTAAAATCTCTTAAATTTATTTTCCAAAACTTTTTGGCCAAATAAGCAAAAAAATGTTAATTACAGTTTTCATTTTGTAAGTAATTGGTTATAAAAAAATGTTTTAAAAAGATGCTTCATAAATATTACGCAAAATCAATCATAAATGAAAATCATGATCTAATCAGTTATGCACGACAGTGTATACATGTACATTTGACAAACATTTATCATTTAGTACTTTCATTTCTTTATGCATGCATTCAATCACACTTACCTGCATGACTTTTTATTAGAAAACTTTAAGCTTTTTTCCACAAATAAAAAGTCACACTCAAATTAAAGTGGGAGATTAATAATTGAAATTAAATTATTGCAGTCGAAAAAAAAATTATAAATAGTATTTACTACTCTATTACAGTAATTTATGTGCAACACATTTTTTTATGTGTGGCGAAAGATTCCACAAATATTGCTTAAATTACAGTTTAAATTAAAACTCACCGACCTTCATGCAAAATCAATAAATTTTCAAGCAATTTATGACAAATTATTTCCTACTACTACATACACGCACACACTCTCAGGCAAGTAGTTCAAAATTTGTTCTTGCCTACGCTTGCAAATATTAAATATAACCAACATTGTTTAAATTAAAACCAAAAAAAAAGTTTAACCCTTACAGTACTGTCAATTTATGCCGTCGCCATTAATGTGAGGAAAAGTAGGAAAATACTAAAAAATAGTTACTCATACGCCCCGCGTTACGTACCTTATGACCTTGTATACGCTCGCTCAATGCATGAATGCATGCTTGCAATAACAACTACAACACCACACAATTTAGTCAAATGCGCCAATGCATATGTCGCTTATCTGCCTGCTTATGCCTGTATAAATATGTATTCATATAAATAAATGCAAGCGGTTGTATGCTTATCATAAATGCATGCCCAAGGCAAAGTCGAGCGGTCGACGGCAAAAAGAAAAAAAGACCCACACAAACGCATACGCAACTCATTCCACTGCCACTTGAGCGATATTTAGTGCTTGGTGGTGCTTGCAAATGCGGCGGTGCTCCTAAGAGCTCAGAGCGCAGCCAACAAAACAAACAGAAAAAATTTGAAAGGTCACAGCAAACTTGGCACCGCCGGCTGAATGGCTGACTGGACGGCTGTTTGGCTGGCTGACTATTCTGCTTGCCATTAACTCGTTAGGCGTTTACAATCAAGGACGGGTTAAGAAAACCACTACACACACCCACAATCGCTCAAATTCACACTGTTGCTCCCCTGGTACGTGAAACAAACCCGACCCGTTGCTGCAATGAGCAATTAAATTTAAATTTCCGCTTAATGCGAGTTGCTGGGCGTGAGAGGGTAAATGATATATAAAAATAGCATGTCGCATTGCCTTTAAGAAATCGGGCGACAACAAAAACAACCGTAGAAAATGCGCCACAAAGTAAAAGTGGTAGTAAACAAAGACGAGTACTCGTGTTTATGTCCTGTCTTGCCGCGTTGCGCTGACATTTCGATGGTAAAGTGGCAAGGCATTGCGCTGCAGTGACCTCAAAAATTCATGAGCCCATTTCTTTGAGTGTGTGTGTATGTGTGAAGGAACTACCTTTAACAATAAGGTATTCGTTTTTTATTATTCTTTTTTTTCACTTTTGAGTTGGCTAAAATGCCCTTTGCCAAGCTTTGGCTTTCGCTTGCAACGACTTTACTGCATATATATAATTTTTTGCCGTCTTTTAGGCCTTTTTCGGCAGCTTTATGCCTTAAACAAGTGTATTTTCCTCACTGCAGCCATAAATAATAATTTCGTTTCATTTTTTGGTGTGACATTTCCGCTAAGCCAAACTTCCTCCTCCTTCTCGCATAACAAAACTGGGTTGTTTGGGCTCGTTTGCTTGTTTTCTTGCTTTAATACTACAATTATTTGTTATTTGTTGTTCGTAATTACGATAACAATTGCTGTTTACATTTGTATGCAACATGTTTACATTGGTCTTAGCAGCAGCAGCTTTTACGACGAGCAGTGGACGTGACCACGAAAGAAAGAGTTAATGCATCGGGTGCGTGGGAGGAGAAACTGGAATATTTGGCAACTCACATTCGCTGAAATTTTCCTTCACACCACCTTCATATGACATACATACGTATATGTATGAATACTTGTATGCGCGATTTTGACAATCTACCCACAAACAAAATAGCAAAAATTTCCGGTAGTTTAATTCTCTTCCGCTGTAATGATCGTTTTTCATATGCCAAGGTATCACTTATTTCAATATGACTGAATTCGGATTGACTACCGCAATTTAAGAAACTTCAGATATAAAATATTTAAAATATATATATACGAGGGTACATATATTGACACTAAAATGTATACATAATTGTTTTGCTTTCCGAGTGACATGGCTGACCTTTCAACTGAACGACAATTTCACTCATACTTTAAATACAAACGCATATTTTTCAACTGGTGTTTAAAATCCTTTTTAGAGTAAAACTGAAGAGATATTTGAAGACTTACACAGTATACATGTATAAAAAAAACTATAATTTTTCGGATCGAACATAAAATTTATGAGTTTTAGGTCAGACTTTGCCCACAGTGGAAAGAAACTCTTTCAATCGGGTTATTATAAAAGAATAAAATAAGAACAATAATTTATATAAAATAAAACAAAATAACAAAATAATTAATAATTAGAAAATCATGAACTTAAATAAACCTAAAATTATTGAAACTCAAAATAAAAATAATAATAATAACACAAATATTATAAAAAGACTAATGTATATGAAATTAAGTAAAAAATAACATAACTCAAAAAACAATTTAAGGGAACTAGATATGAAATAAATAAAACAAAAACTAATAAATTATTATACATTAAATGAATATACATTACATTAAAATAAAATGAAAAAAGCCAAAATAAATATAATGTGGCAAATTTATAAAAAAAGGAAAAATTAAATAAAAATTAATTTAAAAGAGGAGTAATTAAATTAATTATTAGAAACTGAATAAAGAAAACAATAAAGAATAGAAGTTAAGATAAAATAAAGCGAAAAAAATAATTAATAATAATACAATAACAAAAAGTAAAATAAATTTAATATTAAAATAAAACAAAAAAAGGTTATCTCGCCAAGATCGCGTGACTCGAGACTGTTGGATTTTTTTTGGATCGAAGTTTGCGAAATTTCGCAAGGCGATCATTTGAATGATGAAGTGCCAAACTTAATAACAAAATAAAGCTCATGAAAAAAAATTATATTATTATAGACAACCCTGTACGTTTACTTGTTTCAAAGCGCTGCTAAATCACTTTCTGTTCAGCGCTTTCTAGGTACTTCTCCAAACAAATTGATTTCCCAGTTTCACTTACTTGACCTCCTTTGCAAATTTATTTACATATATATATAATTTACATAAAATTCTAAAATTAATGTAATGTCAAGTTGCCCTGAGTAAGTGCTAGTTTTCTTATAGCCTGTTTATGTTGTGGCTGAAATCGTATCAGTTCTTAGAATTCCATTTCAATAATTAAAATATTCATTTCAACGCTACTTAAAATGAAAAGAATTATTATTTATCGTTTTCATCACTTCTGTACTGGTATTTTACTAGTATGTATCTGTCCTAAATTTAGCAGCTAAAAGCTCCTACATATATCCAATAAACATCACTTTTGCTTCTACTAAGGATGAAAGCCTTTGGCTTGCTAGTTATGTTTAATTCACACACAAGTTTCGAAGCAGTTTTTAACTAGTTCATTTGACTGTCTGGTTTGCATATAAACATACGAGTGTTTCCAAAAAAAGCATGTAAGCAGCTTAAAGATTCAAAGGATTTAAACATTTAATTGCAAAAGTTTTTTTTCTCCACACTTTCTCCGCAATGGTAAAGCATTTTTATGGTATGCCAATGCTTGCGTTATTTCTGTATTTATAAAGGGAGCACCGATAAAGTTTTTCTATAATGCCTCAACATATAAATTAGAAAATTACAAGTGCGCACTTTTATGGCTCTTACACATACTCATACATACACGTGTTATATATGCTTGCATTTTTATGAGTGTGAAGAATATATGTGGTAAAATGTGCGTTCTTGAATGATAGTAAAGTAGTTTAGTTTTTATTGCTGTCTAACTATTTGTAGTTAAGTCAAAGGTAAATACATGCGCACACACAAAGACATGAGCTCTATGTGTTCTTCTTCAGTTTAATCCTCATTTCTCCAGCTTCAAAGGTTAAAAAACGCTGTTGTAGGCAAACAAACAATATTCAAAAAACACTTGATGAAAATGATTGCATAAAAAAGTAAAACACTTACACGAAAGCTCAAAAAACTCATAAAAAATTCCACTTTCAAGTAAAGCAAGAAAAGAAGCTTTGTGCTTAAAGTACTTGAGATGTAGAGTATTTGTTATGTTTTTTTTAAACTACGCATATGAGTATGGATATGTATATGCAAAAGTACTCTAATAAAATTTTTAATTAGGTTAATTAAAACTTCTCACAACAACAATAATAAAATATATAGGATATCTGTTTTGCTTAAAAGCAAATAATATTTACTAACTGCACTCTTTTGTAAATACGTACTTGTCTGCGTGCTAAAAGCTATGTCAGAGAGTAGTAAATAAAGGAGAAGTTCACGTTCTTTGAATTAGTCACACACGTGAACATACGTTGATTGCTTGCGATAATAATTTTAGGCCTATTACATGCTTGATGGCGAGCTTATTATAAAACCCCTGCACGTATCCAAAAATAATATTTGGCTGAAAATCTAAAATAAAATAAAACAAAACAAATTAAAAAATAGAAATAAAAATTAATATTAATAAACTAAACAAAATAAAATAAAACAGAAGTAAATAAAATAAAATAAAATAAAATAAAATAAAATAAAATAAAATAAAATAAAATAAAATAAAATAAAATAAAATAAAATAAAATAAAATAATTGCGCTAAAGTTAGGCTTCATTAAACTCCGTTTATAGTTTTGATTTAATACATTCTGGAAATAATGAAGCTGTTAATATTACCTAGCACCTACAATAGTTTTATATGGTAAATTAAATAAATAAACACACCAAAGATGCAAATATGTGAATATAAATGAAACAAATTATGCAAACTAAATTAAAAAAATTATATTAAATATGTTACACAAAAGAAAAATAATTAACAAAGTTATTCAATATGAAGTAATAAAAATGAATATTAAAATTAATTAAACTAAGCAATATAAACTAAGTTTTAAAACTTTCAATTCAAATCCAGCGAAAATTTTTAAATGTCAGGTTAAAAGTTTTAATGAAAGTCATAGTTTTTAATAAAATTGATGGCTTCAAAGGTTGTTAACTTTGATTGTTTGCTTAATTTATTTTGAAACATAGTTCAAGTTTTTGTACTATAATTTTTTTTTTTTAATTATTAGAATTAATTTAATTTAATGATTTTAATACATATATAAATAAAAATTGTGTTAATATATACATATATTAACTTACATATTCAATTTTTTTTTGTAGTTCCTTATTACAAATACATTTTTTTATTGGTTTTTAATAGAAAAATTTTTTTTCTTGAAAATATTTTTTTAGTATTTTTTTAAACTTTTATAATATTTCATTCTTAAAAACGATTTCATTCCATTTATTAACAAAATTCTTTCTCTTTTCCTCACCCTCGGCTATATCGCCATATACAGGTCCCAAACCTGGTCCGCCACGCAATCTAACCGTTACGGAAGTCTCAAACGGTTTTCTCATCTCATGGCAAGCGCCACTGGAACGTGCCCATATCGTCAAATTCTACACCATCAAATACCGCACGGACGCCCAGTGGAAAACGTTGAATCGTGGTCAAATACGACCCGAAGAGACCCAATATTTAGTTAAGAATTTAGTCGGTGGTCGTACATATTATTTTCGCGTCTTAGCTAATTCGGAAAAATCCTACGAATCCAGTGATGAAGTGAAATTTCCGGTGCCGGCACGTGTCAAGCATAAAGCAATAACAGCCGGTGTCGTTGGGGGCATCCTGTTTTTTATTGTTGCGATCATTTTATCGGTTTGTGCCGTAAAAATTTGCAATAAACGTAAACGACGAAAACAGGAAAAAGGTAAAAAACTGCAAATACCAATGAGACAAGTGTAAAGCGATTACACAAACAGTAAAAATTAAAAAATAAAAAATAATACACGAAATGGTTTTTGATGATGACCAGAAGTATGGAACGTGCGAAAGTAATAATTTTTTCTTCATTTAAAAAATTTATTACACATCAATGCAAATGTGTATGTGTGAGTGTCAGTTGAGTGCAAGCAGCAAATTTAACACTTGTGAACGACGCTGATGAGAGTTGTGTGCAGAAAGCCGAAGGCTTCAACAGGCTTTTGGCCTTCTGTTTTCAGAAATATATAAAGCAAACACACATTCTCAGCGGCCGCCGCGATGCTGCGCTCAACAGCGACGCCAGCATGTACAAGACGCGCGTTCCATTTATGGTCACAGACTAACGCTTACTTTTAATAGCTAATTAAATATATAAAAAATATAGATATAAATGTTTTTTGGGTGAAATTAAATTTAAAATTTTTATTGCGTATTAATTTTTGAAAAGTCCTACTAATTTTCATATACAAAATTAATTTTTACGTCAAGTTTGCATTAAGTAACTCCACTTTAATGCTTAAATAAATTTTAAAGCAAATAATTTTTTATAATTTGTAAAAAAAAAATAATTAATTAAACCCCTTTAAAAAATTATAGCAATAAACGATTTTCCTGATATAGCGTATTTAAAATATAATTATTTTCTTTGCATAATACTAAGTTGAATAAAAATTGCCTAACATTTTGTGTTCTTGATTGACGTAAAAAGCTGCTTCTTTTATATGAGTATATAAGTATATAAAGCTAACAAATTTATAGCATTCTACTTAATTCAGCAATTACCATTGATTTAAATAATTAATTAATTAAAATTGCGTGAAATGTGAAACAATACGTGACTGATTTCGCCTTTTGCATAAAATACAATATTTATAAACTCGTATGTATGTATATAGTAATTTTTTTTTTTCATTTGAAGCAATAATTGGCTTAAATAATAAGTAAATAAACTCGAAACTAATAATTAATGAGTACAAAATTTTAATTACTTTTCATTTCGTTAAATGTATGTATGTCACTGAAATTCCTTAAATAATTTTATACATTTAAATAAGTTTTTATTAGCGTTATTATTATTAATATATATTTTTTTAACACATAACATAATTTAAGAAGCGTTTGGTTATTTGATTTTTTAAAATATTACATCAAAGTCTTATATTATTTTTATTAATTTATTTTATAAATAATTTTATTAAATTTATGATGAGATATGAGATTCAAAAATTTACCAAAAATATTTTATTGTTTAATTTAGCTTATTTATATTTTAACCGAATTAAAATGTTTAGTTAAACTCGTCTGATTCTTCCTTCAAAGCTCTGCCTTTTAAAACGCAGCACAAAAAAAAATTCTTCTCCAGTTCACTTTTAACATTTATTTTCCAAAGTCCGCCGCCAAAAAACAAAACAGTATTTATCAATTTATCAACAAATAAAGTAATTAACGATTTAATCCAGCGCATATGAATTCCGCTGTTCTCGCTTTTAATGCATAAATGAATTCCACACGAAATGTCACCCTCAATTAGTTGCGTTTAATGCGTGAACTCGAATTTGATACCCTAAAAAAAAATAACAACGATATTAAGTACAAATTTCAGCAAATAGAAAGATAAAAATATTTGAAATGAGCTTTTCAAATGCAAAATCAAATGAAATCAACTGTGAAATACGTGATTTTCCTATTTTTGTATTGAATTAAATTTTATTCGACAGTTGAATGAAAACCACAGCGGAGTTGTCAACGCCACTCAAATGCGTTTAACACACTCACAATGAAAACAGCAACAAAAACAGCAACAATAGTTGCAATTGTAATACCAACAATAACAACAGAGAGAACAACCACCAGAGCCACTTGCGATTTCATTGGTTAAATTCGCATAAACCGCCAAACAATTTAAATTTTACGAAATATGCGACCGCAAAATGTTGTCGTCAATCTCACTGCATTTTCGCAGTGGCGCCGCGGCGTCAACGTATTTTCAATTTGACCAAAACTCGGATAGATTTAATTGAAAAAGAATTTTAATACGTACGGCGGATGGCATAAAATGTACTAACTTTTAACGGAAGTAAGCTTAAATTGTTGCCTTGAATTTAGCAGAAAGTATAAAGATGATGGGAATAGTTGCTGGTGGGTGTTTACCCACATTTATTGTCAGTTTCAATGCCAATACTATAAAACTTAGTGTTAGTGAAAAGTAATCCACCATTTTGTCCAAACAACTTTTTTCCTATTTGAAGGTAATATCATTATGCCTCTCTTATAGTCAACATCCGCGCCATAAATGGGTCGACTTTCTGAAGATTCGCCAGCGATTCACGGATGAAAATTCGGTTCATTGGAGTTTTTCTCGTTTACTCATGTGGCAACTATACATCGATACTCTTTTTATCAATTGGTTCCAAATAGATTTATGTGCAATCTCTTGCTTCTGGGAAATCAAAACCATGCTCGTATGACGGTCAGTCTCGAGAATTCCCATGATTTTATCAAGATTTTCGACAACTGGCTTTTCAAACAGTGGAGCATTGTGCACAACAAAATTACCGGAGCGAAATCGACGAGTCCATAGTTGTGACTTTTTGGCTGTTAAAATATCAGGCCGCTTGCCTGCCGTGACCATGGCTCATTCTATACAGATCGCTAAATCCACCTATTGCAAGAATAAGGGTTTACCTTTTGCTTACCCTCATTTCTTGTCGGTTTCACTGTCGCTACCATAAATGAAACAAAAAAGCCAATTGATAGATCAATTCTTCTATCAATGTGATAGCTTTCTACATCTCGTCCGCTGAATGCCATTGATACCAATTATTTTTCGGCTTTAAAAAAATTTTCCTTTCTTCTTCTTACCTTATTCTTTAACTCCCAACCATACTGAATTCTATTTTCTTTTAAGCTCTTTTTTAAAATTTAAATTATTTAACAATATATTTTTTTTTTAATTATTCTTATAATCTTTTTAAATTGTACATTAAACATTTTTGTTAGAAATAAAATATTATTTTGCATGCATTATGTTTAATATTTAAATTATTTAAGAAATATTATTTTATTTAAACATATGGTTAAGTAATTATTTAGATTTTTCCTTTATAAATAATCCCTTAGGAATCTCATTTTATTCCTTGTAGTAATTATTTTTTGCCAGTAAGTAATATAAAAATTACGAAAAGCTGTGTTGAGGCAAAAATGCTGTGTTTGAGTAAGGAGTAATTTTTACCCAGAAAAAATATTATATTTCCCTACCCTCCGTCAGTACTTTTTTGTTCATACCTAACAGCAATATTCTCTGGCTGATTTTAATAATTTTGTTGATTTGATAATATCTATCTCCGATCTCCGATCTACTCTGAAATGGAATTCTATTTTACTTGTGTTCACTACATACTTTCTCAATAGAAAGTCTTGCAGCTAGCTACTGAAACCTCTAACGTTCTTTAAATTTTCTATAAAGAAATTGTTAATACAAAGCCGAGGAAGGAGTAATACGTGTTCTTTTCGCTCAATTTCTCATCAAAAGACGAGAGGTTTAAGTTGAAGGAGGTCAGCGTGATGTAATTTCATGAATCCGATCGACATCACCGAAAAATCATTATATTTTTGGCTGTGAAACGACCAACTGTTGTGAGCCTTGACTGTTCTTCTCATCAATCTACTTATTTTATAAAATTAGATGCGAAGTAGACGTCGTCTGCACCCATTTTTGTTAGTCGTTCGACGTTGTCGTGAAGCTAGATATGCACTTTTTACTTCAATACTTGGTTAAATCATACATTTGCAGGACATTTTTCTTTTTTGGAAAGGGAAAAATACATGCGAATACACCTCTGGGCTGCTTCATGGTGAAGTTTTTGGTCCAGTATTATTTCTTTTGTTTAAAAATGACGTTGACGCAGTTAATCTAAATTTCTATGTATCTTTGGTATTCCTATGGTTTCACAATTCAGCTACCTATATAATGGCTATGCCCTCGTACGGCGCTATGTGCCTTAGTTAACCCATCCTAAATGCTTCAAAGTGTGGTGTGCAAAGTAGTAATATTCGTTTTCTCTCGCTCCATTTTCATCGCAAATTTTTCATTTTGTGGTTATTAACTTGAAATCACTCGGGATCCTATGATTTATGAAATAGCCTTGAGAGGAAATTTAAAGATACCTTGATCTGGATTTCCTTTCTGATGTACTCCACGAACTCCTTGGATGTTTATATTCTTAATATACTTAGTTTTGGGCTCATAATTTGGGTCATCTAAAAGCCTATATGTACTTCTGTAATATGTCAATTTCGTAGTATTTTCTCATGTAGTTCATCAAGCTATCGCCTATATGTTTCTTGCTCCAAATCTTTCACTCGAAAACACCAAAATCCCATGAATGTAGCAGGGAGCAAGCGTGGGTAGCGACGTCACTTTTCAATTGTCCATTCAGTTCGCTACAGCAGCTGTTGACTGACAAGAGTGACTCGCTGCTGGATTTCAAGCCTGATATTGTTATTAGTGTTGGTGTGTTGATGCAGCTGGTCGCCAGCTAAACCTGATTCTTTATTAGTGAACACTTTCATGTTCTTCTGTTAAACCTCGGATAAATTTTGATTGTAGGATTAGACAAAGGATAATTATCTAAGCCCAAATAGATAAGATTAGATTAGTTAACGTCGACCTTCAGGCGTTCGCACAGTAGCCCAAATTTTTTAAAACGTATTAGAGGAAAAAGAACTGTGGTCTCTTTGCTAGTGTGATATTTGCGAAGTAGATTCGAAAAATAATTAAGATTTGGCATTATTTAGTATCTATTTGGCGAGGTTTTATATATTTATTAATAGTCAATATCGCACATTTCGTTGTTTTTTATAAATTACGTAGCCTGCTAGTTATGGAATAGTTAAATTTTTTAAAATACAAAACCTTTAGTTATTTTTAAAATTCAAGACATTAACGTAAATATTTTTTCTTGCAGTTTGTTCATTTCATTACTATAATTGCTATTATTATTTTTATTATATTAAATTTTTTCAGTTATATAATTTACGACAATTAATATATAAACATACAATTACAATTACACAAAAACAGCTAGCGTGTAAATATACTTTGATATACATAAATATATATTAACTATACTAAAGTAGGTGCAATATATGAGAAAAAGAAATCGCAGCGCGTACTCAAACCAACCGAATTAAAGAAATAATATTTACTTCAACAACGCGAATCATTGCAAAAAGGCCAGCGCAATTTATAAATATTCAAAAATGTATTTAACATTTTTTTTGATTTTTTTTGTTTTGCAAAAACAACACTTGAATATTGCAAAGGCTTTATTACCTAAAAAATAAAAAAAAATAAAAAGTAATGAAATTAATACAGAAAAAAATCACCTTTACCCCATACATTTAGGCATGTTCTTAGTTTCTTCGTCGTTGTTTCTGCCCAGAACTAAGTTCATTGCCGGTAAAGGTGCCTGAACGAAATGGGCAGACGTTTTTTGTAAACAATTCACGCACAAAGATGGTAAAATCAAGGCCCAAACGACATCTGATAGAAATGATCGCGTCGTATACAATAAACTCAAAGGCTTACACGAGTAAATGTTTGTCGATTTCAAGCTCACTTGAGAGGCTTAAAGTAATTTAACCGTTGTTTTTTTTTTAACTTTTGCTTTCAACTTGCATGTCATTGCAAATTTTGCACTTGCATGAATGAGTCAAACAGTTTTGTGATTTGGTTAATATTCAGCATATTTCGATAAACTTTACACACACCTGCGGATAATAGCGCTCAGCGCATAGTGTGGGCACTCGGTTTCCAATTTCGCACAATGTTTATATGAAAGTAGTCGAAAACGAAAGTTTTCCGGGAACCTCCGAGGTGTATGTAATTTAGGATCTGAAATTGCCGAATTCTGTTTGACAACATTAAATTAAAAAAAAAATTAAATAAAATAAATTTCGAAATCAAGTAACAGCAAATCTAAATGAGAAAAAGAGCGGTAGAGAGGGAGAGAGTAAGAGAGGGTGCTTGCGTGACCATCAAGACACACGACAGCGAAAACGTGAGCGTGTCAAATCAGTTCTTGCTTTAAGACGTACGACCACACTTACCACTGAGCTTATGAGGGTAAAACGTAGACACCAAAATAAATCTGGATTTTTCAAAACTACAACAAATTTCAAGCAGAATATGCTGATAAGTACATGCAAGTATTCTGTGAATGGGGTAAGTCTTAACATTTAGTTGAATTTCGTGTGTCAATGTGTGCTGCTTGTTTAACTCTTTTTCCCATAAAAATCGTCAAGAAAAAAAGAAAAATTAAAAATGGCATTTTTTCACCACTAAATTCTTAACAAAACTCATTTATGGCCAAAAAAAAAGGACATAAACATAAGAAGTGAGTGTTTATACGCACATGGACACGTTTCGTCGTTCAACGCCGTGAATAGGAAAAGCATTGAAAATAAGTCAAAAAACTCATCGATTTCTTTTTAACTTAGCGTAGAAAAGCACAATCATCTTAGCACTCTTTCAAAGGGAATACTTGCTCCATTCATTCACCATCACTTCTTACTCAGCCACACACATACACACACACACCCATACACGGCTGCGTCCATCACAACTCATGCATTAAACGAAAATACCGTCGTTAACACACACACATGTACAAAAACTGTCGAAAAATTTCATAATTTCTATTGCATTTTACTTTATTTCCATTTGAATATTGTTTCTTTTCGAATTTCTTTATCAACATTTTCCTATTAATAGATGTTAATTTTTCAGTTTTTGAGTTAGACAAGTTCTAAATTATATAAATTTATATTATTAAACATTCCTATTTTATCAATCTGAGCGTTTACATGAAAAGTCTTGAGAAGCTTCAAAGCTCTTTATAGTTTGCGTTCTCCCAAACTGAATATTTATTGAAACAAATTCAGTTTCCAAAATTTTGAGGCTTTTAAAAGTTTTTGTAAAAGTCATCAGCTTTCGGAAAGCTTTTTAACACTAATTAAGCTGTAGTAGTTTAACAAATGAAAATTAAGAAAACCCACAAAAAGACTTATTATCACTTTATATTTCACGCTCCACTACAACATTTGCATTTAACTAGTGTTTAACTTTGCTATAGATTTACAGCTATCTTCACCTTAAACAAGGCTTAAATTAAAAGCTTCCTTAATTTTCAACTCTTCATACAATTTCTCTTAGACATTTGTATAGCTGCCTGAAAAGCGACATTTTCTTAGAATTAAATTACTTAAAAAAATCAGTTTGAAAGCCTCCTTCACCCCATAAAGCTCAAGAGATCAAAACTTTAGCTGCAAATCAAAAATCTTTAAAGCTTTACAGAAATGCCTTATAATTTTTCAGCTAAATTTTTCAATCATCAAAGACCGTTTCACCAACTTTTTTTTAATCACCTTGTACAAACCGATCCTATGTTGAAATATATCCATAATTATTATATATACATATGTATGTACATGTAATATCCTCATATATGTATACCATACTTACATACCTATGTTTACCCAATGAATGTTTGTATGTATGTATATGTGCGTGTGTGTTACCGTTTTGCAGTTGCTTTTTGTTTGTTATTCAATGTGTGTTTATGTTTGCGTGTGTGTGTGTAGGTTTGTGCATTTCATGTGCGTTGTACTCCCCTCCATAGTTGTGCGGTGCCCAAAAGTATTACAAAATTTAAAAAAAAATATATACATATATTTATAAGAAGCAAAATAAAATGTTTTAGATACTCTCGAAAACTAAAGCTTTAAGCGCGTGTTGCGAAAGCTGTAAAAGCTAGTGAAACTTGAAAAGCCAGTGAAAGCTTTACAAGTTAATGAAATTTTTCAAATTTGGTATCGGCTTCAAACATATTTACGAATGCTTTACAAATGTAGTGAAAGCTTTAGAAATATTATATGAAAGCTCTAGAAAACATTTAAAAAAGAAATAATTAGAAAAAAGAAGTTATAAATAGAAAATTTTAGGAATTAGTCATCCTAATTGTATAAGTGTAAAATTGATCATTCTCACGAAATTAGTATGTATTGCAGCTATTGGTCAAGCCTTGCGCTTAAACGGTATTTATTTTTAGCCTAGTTATGTATAGCAAAGCATCAGCTGTTGTTTTTTTCTTTTTACATATATATACATTTGCATTTTTAATCGAGTGTCTTCAACAATTTATGTTTATCGATTGTTTTTACTATAAATGATATCCCATTTCGAACTTATTTTTTAAACATTCTTTTAATTTATATTTTGTACTCATAATTATTATTTTCGTCATAAGTTAGTCATGCTAGAAATCTAAAATAATACCATGTGCTCGTATTTTATACTTAAAATAAATAAATATGTTTTAATACAAACTTTATTTAATTTTTTTTTTTCATAAAATTAATTGAAAATAACAATATACATATATCTCTATGTATGTATGTATTTATTCATTATCTATACGTGTACATATAATATATTGCCTTCTAACGATGATCGTCTTGTATTTACGTGGTGGAGAGTGTAACTCATATGTTATATGCATAACAACTATATACATACGTTATATGTAAATACTCACACACATTAACATTTCTGAAAGCTTCAGCAAAATATAACTCATTTATCACATACACATAAACATATGTATATAATTTGCATTTGTATGTATGTCTGTATATGTATGTGTATGTCCTTATATTATATTTATGTATATACGTAAATATATATATATATAATATATATATATATAAATATGTGTGTGGATTATTTCTAGCATACACTAAGGAACGGTCAATACTCCACCAAAATTAATTTTAGAAATTATTCGTTTGCAGAGTTCAATATGGTAGCTTGCCGGATAACTGATGCCCGTAATATAGCAGCAAATAATCACCATTTGCATCAGCATCAACAACAACAACAGCAACAACAACATCAACAACAACAACACCTACAGCAGCAACAACAGCATCATACGCATCCACATCAACAACATCAATTACAACATAATATTCATAGCCATAGTACGGGCTCACTTTCCGCTGGTCAAGTGCCTTTAAAAAAGTGAGTAAACCAAAGGTGGCAAGGTGAAGATGAAGGGGTGAAAAAGATTCGGGGAGTGGGAGTAAAAACTTAAAAAATTATAAAGAAACATATTTTATTACCAATCACATGAAAATGACTCAGTGGGAAGCACAAGTGAACAGAAAGTGTGTAGAGTTTTATCGATAACGATTTATTCGCCACGTTTATCGATAAATTTCACAAAACTACAAATTAAACATTTCAAAATTTTTGTTCTGCGATTTCATTACTACACAGATAACGTAAATCTTCCGTTTTCTTATTCGGAAATTTTCCTTATGGCTGAAGAAAAGTTATTTAATTTGATTTTAATCCAAATTGCATATTATAGATTAAATTGGTCATCATATGTTTCCAATATATACCGATAATATATCTAAACGAGCTAGAGACGTTTGTACGATTCCCACTGAGCATTCTAGACTCTAACAAAAACAAAAACAAATTCATAACAAAATTCACAGCATTCCAACAACACATTACACATTCCAAAATTTGGTAATTATTTTTGCTTGATTTTAAATTTTTCAGTAAACAAATATTAAAAACAAATATTTTATTATCTGTAATAACATTGCCATTGCTAATAAAATAACAATTTTCTTTCTCTTCATACAACAAAAAACTTTCGCTCATAATAAATAACCATGATATTCCAAACCCAAAAACATCGACCTTTCGAAATTTGAAAAAAAAAACGAATTAAATTAAATTAACATACAGCAACACTGAGCATTTTCGTGATTATGAAACCGTTTTTATAGTTCCAGGTCCATCATGCCATAGTCAAAATCGTAAGAGAATTTAGCATTACTAAATAAACTATTATACGAATTAGTGATTGTAAAACATTGTTAGTTGATAAAAAAAAATGTTTTTAAAATATTGGCATTGGGAATTTGATTTTACCCAAAATATTTATATTTAGTGCTCCTTATTTTAGTTTAAAATAAAATAATAAAAAAAAAATTAATTAAATAAAAAGGTAAAATAGAAAAAACAAAACAATCGAATTGGTAAAATTAAATTAAATACTTATAAACGCAACAACACCAAAGAGAGTTTAATAAAAAGAATAATAAACTTATAATAAATAAATTAAAATGATTCGCATTAAACAAAATACAAAAAAACAAAGTAATTAAAATTAAAAGTAAAGTAAGTAAGTAAACTTAAATAAAATAACAAATAATAAAATAAACTAAAATAACATAACAACAATAAAGCAAAGTAAAAAACAAAAAATAAAATTTAATTGAAAATAAAAATTACTTAAATAAAATAAAATAAAAATAGAAAGTAAAAAATATGTAAATAAAATACACCTAAATTAAATAAAATAAAATAAAATAAAATAAAATAAAATAAAATAAAATAAAATAAAAAAAATAAAATATAATAAAAAAAATAAAATAAAATGAAATAAAAGAACAGTTACATAAATTTAAAAAAAATAATATAAGTCAAAGAAAACATATTAATCAAAATAATAGTAACATTTAATACAATAAATAAAACAAAATAAAATAAAATAAAAAAAAAAACAGTAAAATAAAAACACAATAAAATAAAATAAAAAGTGAAGAAAAAAATATAATAAAATTAAACGAAACAAAATAAAATACATACAATACAATGAGAAATTAAATAAAAAAACAGTAAAATAAAATAAGGAAATTAAATAAAAGTAAAAAATAATAAATAAAGCAAAACGAAATAAAATAAAAAAATAATATAAAATAAAGTGAATTGAAATAAAATAGAATATAATGAAATAAAATTAGTTAAAATTGAAAAAAAAGTAAAATAAAATTAATACAAAAAAAAATTAATTCAATTCAGTTATTACAGTAGGTGACAAATTTAGTCGCAGAATTTTTCAAAATGTTATGATTTTTCTTTATGGTTTAATTTGTAGGCGAAATTTTTATTTGTTGTTATCTTGGAAAATCTTCTAGTTGTAGTTCTGAACAAATAGTACGTTTTTGTTTAAAATGGAGTTTATGCATTCAATTGAAGCTGCCTTAAAGCCAACAATTTTTATATCAGTTCTTAATAGATTTCAGTTTAAAAATTAAAGTTTAAATGTTTATTAATAAAAATGATTAATTTTCTTTGATTGCATTATTTCATGTATTCATATGTTTATGTCGTTTATAATAGATAATATATTTTTAATAAAGAAATATCAATTTTCCTGCTTTTTTCAATCCATCTCCTCAGTTTATGCTCATTATGTCATCTCATAAAGCTCATAATTACGTTTTCTATAACATGATAGCCATTTTCTAACATACAAATGTAAATATCTGTTGTCTATTTTGTATGTAATTCCAATTAAATACATAATTTCTGGATTTTGAAGACCACAAGGTTTGCATTTAATATGAATATAATTTTTTTTATGTATATATGTGTGTCCGTTTTTTTATTTTCTTTCTATATTAGCATAAAAAATGTGTGCCTTAAAACGCTAATTGACTCGAATGAGTATACAAAAATTTAAAAGAAACTGGAAACTTTTTCAAGCATTTGGTGCCACATTTTTCAAAGCTAAGAACCATGAAGCATGTTTTTACGTGGATGGTTTACTATTTATTTTTGCCTGTTCATAGATGTGCAAGATCATATAAACCACAGTTGCTAATCAACACCATTTTTCTTTTTCTTTTGTTTTACAAAGATTTAAACAAGCCCGAATATCAAGTCTAACCACAATACTAATTGCTATACTACATTGGATTTGGCCGCCGGATCGCTGCACCAACTGTCACTCAATTTACAGTGCATCCCACTCCGATGAAGACGGCGGCCGCAACCGTCACTCGCTGAGTCAAATTCAACGCTCCGTCGACGGGCGCTTTGTGCTTGCCGCAACGAAGGCGGGTAGCCACAGCAAGCTCAATGCGCTTACAAATGGTGCTGACATGGAGGGCATCGATGAAGTTGACACCGTCGAAGGCATACGTCGTCATAGTCACGCATCGCAAAACTCGTCGAGTGATGATGGCGGCTTTTTGTCGCGACGCAACTTTATTACAGCGCGTGCCTCCTGGCGTCGTCCATTGGTCGCCTCACCATCTCAGCTCAGTTTACAATCAGCTGTTGGTTCAGCACGTGGTTTCCTCCAGGGTTTGGGTGGCCTTTTACGTGTGGGCAGTAATGCTGCTGTGGGTGGCAGTGGAAGTGGTCTCGCGGGTATCTCGGCAGGTGGCGCCGCTGCGGGTGTAGGTGGAGAGGACACGGCTGGTAATACTGGTGCACGCTATCAGAACGTCTACCGTGGGCACTATGGTCACAACATTTATCGAAATTTGCAATCAGTGCAAGCAGCGCAACCCGCCAGTCGTCCTTTGCATATAAATACTTTGAGTGGCAGCACTTTTCTCGGTGGCCATCAGTATCATCAGCAGCACTTGCATGGCCTGCATTTAACACCCAATTTGTATACGCCATCGCGTATATCACGCATCTTCTCAAGCTCGCCAGCCAGCACGCCAAATGACACTCTGGGCAGTGGCACGCATCACCATGTCAATGGGCTTGGTGACGCCGGGGGTTTGGGCGGAGTCGGTGGCGGCTTGCTAACCTCACCGTGGTCTATGACGACGCCGGGTAGTGGACATCTACATCCACATTTCAGCGATTTGAGTAGCGTTTATCCGAGCTCAGCTGAGCGTTCTCTGCCTACACCTTCAGCTACCAGTGGCAACCTGAGCCGTTACCGTTATTACGCACATGAGCTGCCCTCACTGCGCACTATTCAGGAAGAAACGCGTCGCTACAATCAGCAACATCAGCAGGAGGAGAAACAGCAACTTGAGCTCCCAACCGCGGATGGATTTGTGCCCTTACAAATACCTTCACCGCCTTCATGGCGCAACTACTACCACTCACAATTGCCATATCACAGCTATAGACCACGTACGCGCTGGTATCCGCGACATTACGCACGCCTATTTGGACGCTCACAACCCGAACTAATGTCACCGTTGCCACACTTAAATCTGACGCTACGCTCGGCGCCAGTTGGCGCCATGGGTTTGGAAGCATCACCAGAGTCACGCTCAAGCTCGAGCGGTTTCGGCTCGAAAAATAACTCTAATCACCCCCAAGGATCTCATCACTCGGGTAGCACAAGTGAATGGCGGCTGCTGCCACCGTACAGACCACCACCACCACCACCAGCCAGCAACAGCGCCTACTTTGGCCTGACATCACCCGGCATCCAACAACAACAGGCGCAAGGACAAGCACCCGCAGGCTATCAACATCCACAATTGCATCATCCGCCGTTATTTAGCACCAACTCACTGCCGTACTATCCACATTACAGCAGCAGCTTACAACAACAACAACAACAACAGCAACCCAGACCCACAACACCTCCCTACACCATGGAACACTGGTTGGGCATGATCTCAGATCTCAACGCGGACACGGACAATGTCAACCTGCCGAAGTCGGTGGACGTGGGCAGCGTAGATGGCCACTACGAGTTCGATCCGGCTACGCCGACACCGAGCATATCGACGCCAACCGGCGGCCTACTACGCGAAGATCTTAACTTGCACGTAGATACAACGGGTCATCACACGCTGGGTCCGCTAGGCAGCGGCAGTTATCATCATCATACGAGCGGCGCTGCCACGTACGGCGGTCCAATGAGAAAGACGCGCTTCTCACGCTACGACAATGTGGAGGCGCGTCTGCAGGCGATGCGTGAGGAATTCTACGAGTATCGTAAGCGCCAGGCAATGCAGCAAGCTGGTGTAGCGGAGCTGGAGAGCGTGTGCTGAGGCTATTTAGTTACAGCATATTATATTTGTATAGGCTATTTAGCGTAGTATCTATGTAAGTAGTATGCGTGTATGAGAGTGTGTTGTAGTTAGCAATAAGTAGGGTTAGCTTAAATTGTGTGTAATGCAAAATGAAAAACAAAAGCGAAACGAAATTAGGAGCTCTGTAAGCTGCATGATAAATGAAGTTGATGAGAGTTTCGAGTATTCGAATTCGAAAACTTTAGTGCGAAAATTGTAGCTCGAAAAATGATATTCGAAACTTTAAGTTCAAAATATTTAGCAAAAAACTCGTGTTCGAATTCGACGAGTTGAGTTCTCGATATTTAAGTTCGAATTTTCGAACTTCATTGTTCGAAAATATTCATGCTCAATTACAAAAACTAATTGAAATAAAGGCATAAATACATATTATATTTTTTTTCTTCTCAGTTATTTGGTAATAATGACACTTTCGAAGATCTTGAACTATATTCTTATACTCTGCCGACAGAGAACTCTTTAGAGACGCCAGTCAGATTTAAGTGGATTTTAAGTTCCTTGAGCTTTTGTTATGCACCAAGCATACATTGTTGTTAGGCGCTACAAAAAAAAGTTCATGAAAAGGTTTTTTATATCGCATCCCTACTAAGCTCAAACAAGTAAAAAGCTCTCTCTGCCACAAAGCATCTTCGAATGCTTCAGATCTTCATATCTGAAGAATATTTCTTTCAACTACAAATTAAAGTACGCGTTTTCGTTTCCTCGAACCAGTAAAGCTCAAACAAGAAAGATTTATTCGCAATTACCAGAAAATAAGTAAAAAATTTAAAAGTTATTGGCAGTTTTATGCTAAAACGGGACAAATAGGATTCATGTAAATACTAAACATTAAGTCTACGCTAAAGCAAAATATATTTAAAAAAAAATGTAACATTTAAGTAAAAAACGAATTGTAATAAAAGGATGGTGAAGATCCAAAAAAACATAGCAATTATAAAGACATATTATAAAATTAATTACTAATTTAAAGATATTGAGAAAACTTATATAAAAATACTTTAAATAAATAAAATTTAAGCAAGACAGAAAGAAGAAAATTTATTAAAACATTATATAAAAAGATAGTTATTAATAATAAATAAATAAAATTAATAAAAAATACACGAACTCAGTTATTAAAATTTGTTAAATAATTAAATAATTTAACGCAATTAACTGAAAATAAAAGTAAAAGCAATTAGGCGAAAATCAATTTGTTGATTATACATATATGAACTTACATACATATATGTAAGGGTAAGTCGAAAAAAAAGTTGAGCAAAAACAAAAGAAATAAGTAAAAAAGTTAAAACTGAAAAAAATAATGATAAAAAATAATTAACATTAAAAATTACTAACAAACAATTGCAAGTGAGTTTCTTCGTACTAAGAAAGTGAAAATAATTTAATTAATATTGCATAAATATGTACTTTAAGTAGTTCAATATGTATTGAGAAACTTATATTATTGTAATTAAACAACTACAAAAAATGCAAAAAACCAACACATACAAAGAAACTGTAATTTAATTAAGAAAGTTAATAAATAAAAAACCTAAATGAAATTAAAAAAAATTTAAAAAGTTGCATAATATATTTATTATGACTAGTTACTATGTAAAAAAAAAGTTTAATTGATAGAAAGGAAGGAAGGTAAAGCGACTAAAAAATTTATATATAAATATATATATAATTTCTTTTGTAGGTGCACATTGCAAATTACTAAGCAAATTATAAGAAGTGAGCAAATTTAAATTGAAAATCATAATAAATAAAAACGCAGAATTTCTCAATGATTTATTATGTAAAATAGTAGTGCGACAACAAAGTATGGACGAAAGCAAAAAACAAAATATATTAAAAGATGATAAATGAATTAATTAATTGACGTAGCTGTTAGTAAGAAGCAGAAATTAAAGGAAATCAATACTTTACATGAAATATTAAAAATATGAATAAAACAATATTGAACACGTTCAAATTTCTACACTGCACTTTTTCTGTGCGGCTATGAAAATAACAGCAACAAAAAATACTGCTAAAATCTCTCTTTTCTAGGGTTCACTGTATGAAATTAAAAATTCAAAACCAAAAAAAAAAAATATTAAAATTAAATGAAACAGAAATTAATGAGAGTCAAAAACTAATTACTGCAAATAATTTTTTTTTTTTCTAAATACACAACCAAACCGTTTAGTTTTCAACAGAACAAACTCTTGCTCTTCTTTTATATTATTTTTCTTAACACTGTTACGCTCACTATATAAGTAAAGGTAAACCGAAATGAATATATATATATATATATTATATATATATTTAAAAATGTTTATCGAAAAACATTTGATTTTGTATGTATTGTGTATATGTAAAAGTAAGCAATTATTCAAATTGAAACAAATAAAAACATTTTGAACGGAAAGGTTTGACACAACTCGACGCCAATACACTGCCACAGCGACGAAACGGGGTAAAGTCATAGACCGAGCGAGTTGAAAGCGAGTCGCATGGCGTGCGCGTGTATCTGGTACGTGTAAATGTATGTATGTGTATTTGTAAGCACACATAACATACATTATACACACATACACGGGCACACTCATGTACTCTACCTCGCATGTATGTATTGTACTAAATATCTAATAGGTAATATGTATATGATAATATAGAAAGAATGAATAAAGGTGAAATGTGCGGAAATTGTGTAAAATTTTAAGTATTTTGAAAAAATGCAATAAATGAGGAATATGATATTAAGCACACAAATGAAGTAATAGATTAAATTGCAACCGTTGGTGATGAAATGTTAAAGACATTTGTGTCGAAGAGAGGAGAAAGCATAGCAAACAGGCACTGTGAAAAATTTAATAGATCTTTTTTTCAAATTTTTAAACCATTTTACTTTATTTTTATAGTTTCTAATATCTTACACTTGTATTTTAAAATTTCGCTCAGTATATTAAATATTAAAAATAAAAATATTTCTATAAGGATATTTGAAGCAATTTTTTAGTTATTTAAAATTAAAAAAAAAATAATATCAGCAAAAACTGAATATAATAAAATTTGGAAATCTAAATTAAGCCACAATTTATAATTATTTTCGAATAACTAGCAAAATTCTGCCTTTAAACCGAATTGTAAAGCAAAATTATTTAACTTTAAGAAGTGAAAAAGCAGAAAAAACATATTTAAATAATTCAAAACCTTCCAAAAGCTCAATATCTTTTCAAAGACCCCTTCAATGAAAATTAAAATCTTTATAGCAGTGAAAATAGCTTCAAAGACTTCGCAAATGTCTCTGTTTTGCTTTTGCTTTAAATATTTGTTCGAATCAAATAAGCTTTATTGATCTCAAGCAGTGCATAGTTTTACTCTTCTTTTTTAATATGGTTGTTGATTTTCACTTTTTTATTACTTTTTCTCGAAAATTCTTTCGTGTCATTTATTAGTTATAATCTTTGTAGTAGAGACCTGAGCGCATACTAAGCTTTTGAGCCCACAACAATTGTAGAGGAGTAGAGAATTTTAAGCGCCTGCATTAAATTTTTTCAAAGTATGCAAATAGCCTGATTTTATTGAAAAAAAATATAAAAAAAAACTAAATACTTAAGCATAAAATTTAAAACACGCGCTTAGAAATAATTAAGGAAGAGTATTCAAAATATTTCAAAATTTGTTTTTTTTTTAATGTATGAAAGCGCTTACCTGTATATATAAAAATTTAAGATTTAAATTTAAATATTTAGACATTTGTATATCTTTTTTTTAAATAACTAAGCAACTTTTTTATTTTTGAAACTATTAGTATAATTTTTTACATTTTTCAGTCTTATTCTAAAAATGAAAGCGCCGTGCTGAGCTTTTTAAGTTTTTCTTAGCCAATCAAAAGCTTTTTAAATTGCATCGAAATTCCAACAAAAAAAGATTCAAACGCATTAAGAATCCTCGACTCATTAAACGAAACGTGTTTTCATTTTTTTCAGGAAATGAAAACCAAGAGAAGAAGCATTAAGTTAAAAAATAATTATAATTATACATTCAACAAAAGAAAATTATAAAAAAAAACTCTAATAAGAAATAGAAAACGCAAAAACTAACAAAAACTCAGAACAAATTAAAAAGAAAATACGAAAAGGCGTTGCGAACAATTCAAAGTTGAAAAAAAATCATAGCTCGAAACTGATTCAAAAATATTTGTGAAAGAAAAATTATGTCAACGTAAACACCTGCCACAAGCTGATCAAAAAAAAGCATGAATCAGCTAAAATCTTAAAAAGATGTTAAAACGTTAAACAACAACAACAACATAGTAGTGAATGTCAATGGCTCAGGCCACAAGAGCGAAGAAAATGATTACGGAGAAAACGAACAATTATAGTAGCAATCGAATTGTTATTGTAATCGTAACTGATTTCCAAAATTAGTATATACATACATATTAATTAACTAATTAATATTAATGAGAAAATAAAATAAAATATATTAAATGAAAATAAAATGTGAATTTAATATAAGTGAATTTATGCAATGAAAAGTGTAAGGAATTAAAAGGTAAATGACAAAAGTTGTAGAAGAAGAAACTAGTTAAAGTTACATACACACAAACACACACATTCACAGACACACCTTCATTGAGGTATAGGCTATTCCAAGCACACTGAATGATGAAAATATCAAAATTTGGAAAGAGAGCGCGCGAGAGAGAGAGAGAGATTTCATCTTAACGCCGTGCAAGCGCATCAAATGCGATTTCTATCAAACAGAGATTTTCCATACCTGAATACTAAAAACGGTTGTTAGGCGGCACTTCAGCTTCAAGAGCTCACATTTTCACTTACCCAACTAATGAGTAGATCTCAAAATTAACTTTGAATCTTGTAAAAAAATTTAATGAAATAATGTGTGTTTAAATTTCATGTTAATGTAAGTTCAAGCGGCAGTTTTTGAAAATACAAAAGAAGCATTTCTCTAACAATTAAAAAATTTGAATTAACTTTACGATAAAGTTTCCTTTTATAACACAAATTCGCATGATTTCATGATGGTTTCACAGAAGAGTTTATTTTTAATTTAAAACGCTATACCGTTGAATAAATACAAGTTAAGACGACTTTGTTTGAGTAAATGAGAGGCTTGAAATGCATTCATTATCGGTACATTTCAACCAAAGCAGCGAGTGAGGTTACAATATTTAATGTCCGAGGCACTGGCAAATAGAGCGTAAATCTATTGAAAACTGTGAGGAGTTCCAAAGGCTGTAAGAAATTCTATGCAGACATTCAGTCAGTTGAACAGAACGCTGAAAGTTTCTAAAATATCTCTAAATATTTCACACTTGTTTGGGTATCTTGAATTCTTTCCAAGGCCTATATGAAAAAAAAATAAAAATTATTTTCTCATAAACCGACACTCTAGTACACGCACATTTTCTACATTTTTTCGCATTTTTCTACGTCTTTACTTTACCTAAAATTTTTTTTTTTTTTTTTTTTTTTTTTTTTGAAAAACAATTAGTGTTTTTTAAGGTTTCACTTTACTCGTTTTTATCTGCTTTGACTAGTTTGATTTTTTTTTTTTTTAATTTTCACTTTCACTTTACTCACCGAAATGTTATAATGACAAGAAAAATTTTGCAATGAAGCATACGAAATTCTAAATAAAAAATTAAATTTAAATAAAAATTGGAAAAAGGTTAAACTATTAAGCAACACTTAAACACACTGATATATTAAAATTAATTTCAATACACAGAAGTATTGAACAAGAAATGTGTGCAGTCTTACTCGAGGGATAATACATAATGTAAGGCGAAGTTGATTAAAATTAAAAAATGGAAACGAAACACTTAAGAACGAAAAAATAATAATTAATTCGTGTTTTTATATAAATTACACACACGCACATATACACACACGTAAGCGTAGTAAGATAAATATTTATTTAAATTTCTTTTATGAAAATAAATTTATTTTTTAATTAAGCAACAATTAAGTTCAAACTTTACAAATAATTTTAAGAAATTTTATAAACATTTACTTTAAGTTTGTAAAATTTTTTTCATTTGAGTACAAACACGCGCAAATAAATTGAATAAAAAGAGCGCTAGTGAGCAGTGCGCTAAGTAGAAATGTTGATAAAAAGATATAAATAAAAAATAAATAAAAAACGAAGCAAAACGCGTTACCCAATGATATAAAAGGAAAAGAAATACACAGAAAATCAAATAAAAAAACGAAAAAAAAAATTAATATTTCTCAAAATCGAAACCAACCAAATTAGATTAAAACAAAAAAAACAAAAAACATACTTTCAAACAGTCGAGCAAAAAAGAAAAATTATAACAAATACATACATAAATAGTTAAAAACGTAACGAGATATTATAAATACTCATAAACAAACATGCAAAAACAATTAAAGGTAAAATAAGTTAAAAAAAAAAAACAAAATATCTAAAATTAAGTATGAAATGTGAATGCGTCAACATTGGATGTAGAAACAGCAAAAGCAGTTGAAAACTTAAAAAAAAAATTTACTTATTTTCCATATACTTCATTTCCACTTGCTTTTTATGTAAATTTTGCTTTAGTAAAATATTTATGATTACGAGTTAAATAATATTATTTTAACTACTATACGAATTAACATGAGACAAGTACTAAACTGTAATTAAATTATGCATTAATGAGATTATCTATTAAGTTGACTCAGATTAAGAATAATAAAAGTGAAATTTTTAAACGAATAAAATTAAAGAAAAAACAGTGAAAGCATATAAAAAATTACAAAAAATCAATGCAAAAAAATTACACAAAATAATTTAATTTTGGTTTTCTTTAAATTCAAGGGGGAGAAATTGTTATAGGCAAAGGTCTGCGAAAAGTTCATAAAAATCTATGCACAAATAAAATATTTACTGTAGCAAAATTTGTTTAATAACATCAACAATAGGTTGTTAATTGTATGGTTTCATACGAACAAATTAAATTCTCAAACTAAAAATATTTTGCTTTAGTTAAAAGTCAGACGTTTATCAAGGCTAACAAAAAAACTCTCATTTCTTGTACCTCCATGTACTATTTTATTGTCTTCTTCATCTTCAAAGCAGCAGTGTTTCTTCAACGGCTAGCCACGCTTGCTCTACTATGTCAATTGTTCCGTATATCTTGCGGTACATCGTACCATTGTCTGCGATCGATCTTAGATAAATTATTTTTCTCGAAAACTTATAAAGTTTGTTGTTTATTTCAATCGTCGGTCACGCTTCTCCATCACCAAATCTGAACTGCTCAGTTGATGAGCCATGCAATGTTGGCCTTTTGTATCCCAACACATTTTAAACACCGAAAAATTGTCTTCCTTCCGTATACACATATTATATTTTTGTCGCTTTGTAACCGCTGAACAGATTTTCGTTCGAGCTCCATTTCCAACAGCTTATACTAAGCTGTCTTCGAAAAGCCGATGACTTTTTATTAGGAGCTTAATTTGTATCAGAAAAACACTCGTGGGGTGTGACACTCCCTGCCGAGGTACGACCGCAATTACAAAAGTCGGATATGCCAGCCAATTTCCTCAAAACGCGATGAGGTTGTCATCAAACGGGTTATCGCTTATCCGAGACTTACTCTTTCAATTTTGCATTGCAGATTTTTATGTTTAGGATCCTGTACACTACGCACAACCACGAGTGGATCAATTTTTTACTTTTTCTGACTCTTTTCGATGGGTTTTTCGTTCTAACTAGGTTTCATTTGGGTTTCCGCCACGAAATACTTTTCCACCTTCTCTACAGGTGTGAGCGGTAAAGTCCCAATGGAGAAATTCATTATTTTTTTGTTTTCATATATTTAATTGCTCGCTATATTTAGCTTCATCGATGGAATTGCGTATTATTGATTTTTTTAATTAAAATATAAAAATTATGCAGGTACACTATCGAGAAAAATTTTAACTACACTTAAAAATATGAGAATTAAATATCTTAATTTTTCGCGCATAAATTTCCTTTCAATGAAAAATTATCAACCGCTAGATTATGCCCAGAGCTATGAGAGCAACTCTTCCTAAGATGTTGTAACCCATCTGGGTGGCACGTTGTGGTACAACAGTGTCTATTACTGCCACTTACACTATGTATACCGATACTAGATATATATATGTATACATTTATTAATGGAGGGACCTACAGATTATTCCAAGCCACTTGGAAGATGGAGTTTTATGAGGAGATTTTATTTTATGCCAGAAATACATCAGAAAGCTCAAAATTCCCTAACGAAGGGCGACCACAAGTAAATAAATTAATTTTCTAAAATTTTTAACTCGCACCCCGACCTTCCAAATGTTGGTACATAATGATAACCCCCCGGCTATTTCTGCCAGCGTACGCAATTTGGAAAACGCATAAAACTTTAAATTGATGGCTCCCTCTCGACCAGCACTGTAGCATTAGTCAAATTAACTAACAGGAAAGTGGCAAAGGACAACTCACAATAGTTTTATTTCGAGTGCTGTTCGCGAAGGTCGTCTAACGCTTTACTGGAAATGCATAATTGCAAGCGTAGAACTCACCCAAAGTCCAACACACGCGATAACGAAGAACAGCGTGCGATACATCCTACACTCGCATACCTCAAGTGGCATTTATTGCTGCTCAAACTGTATGGCATAATACCGTTCTACACCATTCTCAGCCTGTATGAGATCGGTCCGCCTACACGCCGTGTCACGCGGATTACGCGGCTCATGCTGCTTGCTAAGGCCGTAATGAATATTGTGCATGTCTACATCTATCTCTCCTCAACAATTTTGAAAATACTCTTTCTCAGAAGTCAGACGGATGGCATAACCAATATGTTAGATGTGACCTTCTGCATGATCTGTGATATTACAATAACATGGACATGTGTTTGCAATACAACAATAATTATGGAGATAATTAATCGATTTTTGAAAGTCGATCGTCTGCTGAAACAGTACGCGGATTCACCGGCAGAGCGGCCGACGAGCACAAATATATTCAACCGTTATTTATTCTTCATATACGCTTATATATTCTCCCTGATAATATCGTATTTGAAGCGGACTTATGATTTGGTCTCATTGTACTTTTGGATCTACATACTATTCTACCAGTTGGAGAACGCGATCTCCTGTGCTTTTGTGGTCTTCATTTCAGCGCTTATGCATTTGCTAGCCGAACGTTTTCGATATATCAATCAACTGATTGCGCAATATAACCGAAGGGAAATTGTGCGAAGCAGCGAGTATTACACACACGACAGGTTAATGCCTGCTTCGGACTTTGATGGCAAAACGACAAATCGCAATGAGGCGACTTTGCAGCTATTCGCGACGAATTCGGCCATCATTTATGGCTTGTATGTCGACTTATTGGATATATTGAAAATGATAAACAACTACGCCGGCTTAGGTCTTTTGGCATATTTGCTCTATGCCTGTTACGGCTTGCTGTCCTGTGCATATAACAGTTTATTGTTCAATTGGTCACCGGGTGAGGATTTGTATTATATGGTTTGGAACTTCTCGTGGCTGCCTCTTTATGCGAGTATATTGACAATATTGGCAAATAACTGTGCGAAGGCGACAGAAGAGGTTAGTGGTAGGCAGAAGAAGAAAAACTAGTTATTATCTACTTCTTTCTACCTTCAGGCTAACAAAACACCATTAATACTCGCACGCGTTTATGGCAAGGGAAAGAAATACCAAACTATTGTTAGTATACTAAAAAACACAAAGAATTACCTCAGTAGCTTAGTTCTATTTTTATATTTTAATTCGCAGATCGATAAATTTTTAACAAAGAGTCTCAAACAAACCGTACATTTTACAGCTTATCACTTTTTCCCTATCAATAGAGCAACACTTTTTCAGGTAAAATAAATGAACAAATATTCCTTAGAAAAAGTGATTTATTACCATTTTTTTTAAAACTTGAAATTTAAGATCTTTTCAGCTGTAACCACATATCTAGTAATTTTAATGCAATTCAAAGAGCTGGAAAAGTCTAAAGATAAATGGAATGCAGAAGCGTCGAAATACAATTACGAATGAATTATTATTAAAAAACTAGTATAACATTTTGTTTTATTAAAATGAATGCAAATAAAGTAAAATTAAAAAGAAATGAAAAATATACATTAAAATAAAGTAATTAAATTGAATCAAAATGAATGGAATTAAATTAAACTAAATTATATGAAACAAAATATAATAAAAATGCACGGAAAATTTAATAAAATTAAATTACATAAAGTAAAATAAAAAATATAAAATATAATAAAACAAAAAAAAACCAAAATAAAGTAGAATAAAATAAAGTAAAATAAAATAAAATAATATTAAATTAAAGAAATAAAATAAAACAAAATAAAACAAAATAAAATAAAATAAAATAAATTAAAATAAAATAAAATAAAATAAAATAAAATAAAATAATTTAAAATAAAATAAAATAAAATAAAATAAAATAAAATAATTTAAAATAAAATAAAATAAAATAAAATAAAATAAAATAAAATAAAATAAAATAAAATAAAATAAAATAAAATAAAATAAAATAAAATAAAATAAAATAAAATAAAATAAAATAAAATAAAATAAAATAAAATAAAATAAAATAAATCAAAATAAACTGAAATAATTTAAAACAAAGTAAAGTAAAATAATAAATAAATAACAATAATAAAAACAACAAAATGAGAATAAGTTTAATATAATATAATAATATAAAACAAAATAGAAAAATCCTATAAAATATAATAAAAAAATAAATAAATTATGAAATGTAAAATAAAATATATAAAATAAAATTAAAACATATTGGAAAAAAATCAAGATTCATAAAAAATTCATAAAAAAAATTTCGATGATGAGCTCGGCCGAAAATCGCTCTATCGGTGACAAAGCGGCAATTTTATATCTATAATTAAATAAAATTTTGGTGATGATTGACTCCATTATACCTTAATGTATTTGTATTAATCTCAAAATAATAATAGAATTGTCCTTCACTGAATGTAGCTCAGAATTTTCAAGCAATATCAATCAGTTACTGACTTGTGAGGGTATCAAACCGACTTCGCAAACTTAATTCAACGTAGAGCTAAAATGAAAATAATTAATGATATGGGTTCCATAAGACTTGTCGGCCAAATTTTCGGGCTCATACCATTCTACGAATGCGTGCGTGGTGAACTTAGAATTAGTATATTTGGCAAATATTATACATACATAATCAATACAATCTTCTTGTTAATATCACTTCTGGTCTATCTAATTGTAACGAAAAGTGGAGATGAATTTAACGTTTTTCGTAATCTCCGCGGCGCGGATCAATCTACCGAAGTGCTCTTCAGCATTATAAGCACCGTTGTTATTATAGTAGCTTGCGCATCGAACACTCAGCGGAACTGTGACATTATGCGAGAAATAGGCAAACTAGATGAGCTTTTGTTGGCGAAAGGTTTCATATTACACCGTTACTCCTGCCATATACTAAGCACCATACTGGCACTGATATCCTTTTATATGCTCGGCACTGCCTGTTATTATATGCAATTACTGAGCTCTCACTTTCACTATCACCAACTGGTTTTACTCAACATTTATGGCTTGCAACTGTTTATATCGAATTTATATGCGCTTTGTTTGCGTGTTCTTTTGGGTAATATCAGACAACGCATTCACTTAGTTAATGCTAAATTGGAGCTTGTGGCTAAAAGTGATTTAGATGTGGAGCATAATTGGCGGCAAATGAGTCTCTTCATTGAGTTGCTATGTAAATTCCGTTTTATTACGGATAAAGTGAATACGAGCAATGGCATAGCTCTGTTCTCTTACATGAGCTTCGCTTTTTACATGCTGACAAATCAGAGTTTTATGGCTTTTATGACAATCGTCAAACCGCAAGGATATGAAGAGAAATATGATATTTTGGGTGTATCGCTTGCTTGGATCTTCGTTGAATTGGTGACGATTCTGGTGATTTGCAGTGCTTGCGATGACCTCTCATCGGAGGTAGGTATATTTTTTTTTTTGGTTATATCAACTTGTTTTATTGGGTTTAAGCGTTGATATGAGGTGAACTGAGTTGAGTTGAGCAAATTTCAGTTCAGTTGAGTTGAGTTGAGTAAATTTCAGTTGAGTTGAGTTGAATGGATTTGAGTTAAGTTGAGTTGTGTTGAGTTTAGTTGAGTTGAGTTTAGTTGAGGGGAGTTTAGTTGGGTTGAGTTGAGTTGTTTTACAAAGCAGCTTCTCTATAATGCTTAGTTAAGACCTTATGACGCAGTGAGTCGATCCCAGTGAATTTTTTTTTAACTAAGTAAGAAGAATCTCTAGCTTACCTTGAAACAAGTGGAGATTCGATCGTTTGACAAATATTGTGTTTGGCTTCTTTGCCAATGAATACGAAATAAACATGTGACATACGACAGTAAGAAGCAATAATGCAAAAAACTTTATTGATAACAAATCTTTGCTTTCTTTCCTTTAAAAAATTACAAAGCAACAAAATCCATTTTCTTTACCTCTTTTTTGCAATTAATTAAAATTATAAATTATCGCCCAGATCAGAAAAGCCACTTAGCTGGCAATTTAATTTTCACAAACAGCACCAACAGTATCATTTTGAGTTTAACTCGTACATGGCGGTCACCGCTGAGTTTTCTAAAATATGACGAATAGCAATAGGACTTTTATAAACGTTAAAAGTGCTAAGAAAGGAAAACCAGGAACACAAACGATACTTTCCCGACTAAAATGGAATTTAATTGCATTAAAAGTGATCGGCCTCTTGCCATTCTACACCATGCGTACCCGCCATGAGATTGCCACGCCCACACAATGCAGAATATTCATTAAAAGAGTAATTATACTCAGCAAAATCATTATGTGTATTCTACACATCAACGCTTTACTCTCTCCCTCCATCTGGCGCATGCTATTCGTACAAAGCAAAACGAATGGCCTTACCGCTACGCTCGATGTGACCTTCTGCATGCTCTGCGATATGACAATCACAAGCACCTGCGCTTTCAATATGGACAAAATTATTGCAATACTCAATAGATTCTTAAAAATCGATCAATTCATCAGCGAACTCCCAACCTCGGACGCAGCGCCACAGAAATCGTTCAAAAGGACTTCCGGCAATAAATATATAATGTGGATGTTTTGCTATATTTGCCTAATAACTATACCCATTGTGCATCGCCTCTTCGAAACCCTCAGCTTTGAGATTGTTATACTCGCGATCGCTTATCAGTTGGAAAACTACACCTCATATGCTTTTATCGTTTTCATTTCATCGCTGCTGCATGAATTGACGATGCGTTTTCAATACGTTAATCATCAGATAGAAAAATACAATCGAAAGTTTCCAAAAAGCAGTGAACAGGCAAATATCAGCTCACCACGGCGCTTGGAGCACAAAACCACAACCCAGGATATTTTGAACATGTCGCGATTCGCCGAAAACTCCGTCGTGATTTACAGTTTATATAATGATTTACTTGATTTGCTCAAAATGGTTAATCAACTCGCTGATCTGGCCTTGCTGACTTTTCTACTGTACTCGTGCACGGGCATTTTGACCTGCACTTACACTTCTACTCTATTCAATTTCCATAAGCGCAACGAATCGTTTTCTCTGATGTGGAACGTTTCCTGGATAGTGAATTTCTCCGCTGTGGTCATTCTACTGGCGCTCAGGTGTGATCGTGTTACAAAAGAGGTTATACACCAATTTATATTATCTATAAATGCATTAAAATTTAACTTACCATTTAATAGTTAAAACCGTTCCTCATTAAACAAAAATGGTTTGGCCACCGTATTCCATCTGTTCTTAAATCAGCTGAGTCAGAATTTTTAATAGTTTTGATATAAAATAACAAAGCATTTTATATGATCAACATTTAGTCTCGACAAGGGAAACATTAAAAAAGGATCCAAAACATGCTAAGCAACACCAGAAGCTGTGTCAGGATGGGGAAGGGCTTCACCGAGCTCTTAGACACCAGTCAAATTTTCAGAAAAGGGGCATTTTTAATCTGCTATCTAGCCAGACGTATGTGTCTGGTACTGTACGAGAGCAAGACGAAATATCTCTTGTCCAAAAACCAACAGTCACAGCATTCTCGTCTCAGCTCTCACGCCATTCCTGGTAGTCATAACTTTGAAGTTGTTGTTAACTTCGTCAGGCTTGGAACCAGTTCTAATACCAACTAAGCAATTGAAAAGTAAAAAAGTAACAAATACCGAGATCTACCAGTCACTCATTTCCGTCCCACTATATGTACGGAGGTATGACCTTGACAACAAATCAGCGTTAGAAGTTTTAAACACGAGTATAATTTTTGGCGGTTGCGGTAGCCGAGTAGTTATCATTGCTTACTGCCATTCGCAGGCGGCTTAGTATAAGCTGTAGGCCCTGCCATTTGTGGGAAAAACATGAATATACAAAATCACAAATTGGAGGAGGGAAGAGCTTGGCCAAAAATCGCTTCTGCGGTTACAAAGCGCCAATTATATGTATACATAGTTCTTAACGCGAATACCGAGATAACGACTACACAGGCTAGGTCGTGTGGTCCAAATGGATAAGAATGAACCAGGTTTGAAAGTTTTAGATCCATTAATCGCTTGTGTAAGCAGGGAAAAAGCCCTCAACCCCCTTGGAAATATCACGTGGAGCAGGACTTGGCTGAATTACAATGGGCGCTAAACAGCGAAAATTAGCATTTCACAGATTTAAGTACTTGAAAATAATACTTACTTTAGATCAAAAACTTTTTTTTAGTACCAAGACAGCCAATTTTTGATCTTTGCTGAGTTTTTGTTTTTCAATTTACGCGAAACTGTAGGGTATATGGTCAAGTATTAGTCAGATACTTTTAATTCAGCGGGTCAATAAATATGTCCGAATATTGATGACATCTACTGTATAACTAACTTTTCCTATGTTTTTTTTTTTAAGAACAAAAAGTATACCTGAAATTTTTAATTAATTTTTTAACACCTACAGGCAAATCGGACATCACAAATACTTGCGCGTGTCTATGGCAAAGGCAAAGAATATCAAAATATAGTAAGCGAGCTGTATCTATAAGACTACATACCAGTTGCAATATAAATTCATTGAAATTTTTATTTTAAGGTTGACAAATTTCTCTCAAAAAGCATCAAACAGGACGTGCAGTTCACAGCTTATGGATTTTTTGCTATCGATAATACAACATTATTCAAAGTAAAAAAAATACACCGATAATTTTATTTAAATTATTTTTAATTTTCAATTAAATATTTTAAATTTGTTTTGTGCAATTTCATGTGATTAAATTTTGAAAAGGAAATTTAATTTTTCGAATAATTCTAAATAAGGTTAAATACAAAATAAATATAATTAAAAAATTTCAATATTTTCTTTTTACAGATTTTTTCAGCTGTGACCACTTATCTGGTGATTTTAATACAGTTCAAACAGCTGGAGGATTCTAGAATCGACAATTAATTTGAAATATTGAAATATTGTTAAATTGTTTATACAATTCAACGCAAGGAGGAATTCCAAATGTACTTCACTTACAATTTCTTCATTATTATTATTATCATAGACATGTACTTCGTGAGTTCACAATACAATTTGACATATCGTAGAAATATATAATGATAAAATATTTCGTTGTTGGTATTGGCACTCAGTCAATTGCAATTTGTTACAAAAGAAAATAATGCAGAAAATGAATAAACGTAGCTTCATATATATATGTACATTTGTTTGTCAATGGGGAAGAAATAAATAATCGGAGGTCGAAACTTTCTACATTATTACCTTTCATATGAAACCTGTGGTAGGTTACGTACACACACGTAAACATAGATTTGTACGTAATGCTAACTAATAATATGTATAAAAGTAGATATGTATTAATGGAATTAGGAATATGAATATTAATGAAAATAAACTCACTCACTTTGACACAATCACACGAAGCGAAGAGGATGTCTTGCTTTGTTGTTGCGGCAGTGAAAATTCCTTCATTTTGTTTATTAGTTCCCTTTTTTTACGCTTAAACGGCCGCTATAGGTGTTGTTGTTAGCAGTGCACAGTTTGACCTGGAAGGTCATGGTTCAAATCTTTGTCCGACCAACATTCCAAAATTACAGAAAATTAATTTGTATAAAAAATATCTTATTCAATAACATTCCAGCGGTCGCGCGTTGTCGAATCGACGTTATATTTTATTTGCTTTTATAAATGCGTTTTTAAGTCGAAATACAAAAAAATAAACGATTATTTCTCTAATATATCCGAAAGGTCTTTTCAATTACGCGCGACTGCAACCGTTACAAAAGACCGGCCGACCGCTTAAGGGATAATTGCGCCCCTTAGCAGGACCTGTCAACCCCTTGCACTGACATGACATAAAAAAAAGCTTCTCGGCGGTGTAAAAAAAAACCTGCAGATCCCTCTATTTTTAAATGCATTACATTACATTTGCTTTTTGCTTCAACTAAAGCAAAATATTAAAATTCTTGATCTAGCTACGTATATGTATCTAAAGCGTGATCTATTCCGAGGTTCCCTACCACAGTAAATTCAAAATTTAATAGGTAAAGTTTATTTCAATGTTGGCTGCGGCTACCTCTCAATAGATCCATACGTTGAGTCTTGTTTTCAATGACTCGTTCGGGCATTTCCACTGGTAACTCACGAATGACACGCGCGATGTATTGTTCCAAAGTCGGAATGGAAACGGGATTGTCCGCATAGACTTTAGACTTTACATATCCACACAGGAAAAAGTCTACGGCTTGATATCACACGATCTTAGTGGCCAATCGACCGGCCCAAATCGTGAGATTATCTGCTCATCGAATTGTTCTCTCAAAAAATTCGGTAATTGCTGCGATTTGCGCGAGGTGGCGCCGCCTTCGAGCATCAAATAGTCGGTTAGTATGGCACGATAACGATCGACTTTGACGGTTACATTTTCACCGGCATCATTTTTAAAGAAATATGGACTAATGCTTTCATCGGCCCACAAACCACACCAAACAGTTTTTTTCTGGTTGCTCTTCATTTCGAATTCGGCAGTTTCGCTTATTTACATGCTCATTGAGCCAGAAATGGACCTCATCGCTGAACCAAGTTTGACTCGAAAATGTAGGATCTTCTCGGAACTTTTCAAAAGCCCATAAAGCAAAGCGATGTCACTTGAGAATCTGTACGAGTATTCGGTATGCTTTTATTTTAAAATCTCGACGTAAAATGCGCCAAGACGTTCTTCGTGTATACCCTATGCTGAACGTAACCTATTCGGTAGAATATTATCCAGTAATACATGCTGTGTCTCAAGATGAATGATGGTGTTGCGAATAGTGCGCTCAATAGGCCGAATATGCTGTCCATAAGCTAAGCGAAGCGCACGAAACATATTCTTTACGGAACGTGAATGTTCGTAATGAAGTTGAACGGTTTGTAAACGTTGTCAAGACGTAAGTCTTTCCATGATGAATCGCCAAACAATACCGAGCTAAAATAGCACAAGAGCTTGACACCACCCACGCGTGGTCTGTCAAAACAAAGCTACCTTATCTTGGAGCACACGTTACATAGGCGCATACAAAGTTCGGCTTTAAAGTTATTTTTCAACTATAGTCAAAAATTGGCCGCTTTTTCATTTCTCGTAATAAGCCATGCGTGTTTATCAGTTCTTGAGAGGAACAAATCTACAGTTAGTCGAACCCTAGTTCACATTTCGGAAGAAAAGAACGTAAAGCAGTATGCGTAAAAATTTTAAGTAGAATGGAATCATTAGTGCGCTAGTTCCGAAAAGTGGGTTCCTGATCCATTCCCACGAAGAAACAGTAGAGTTCATGATAACTCCAGCAATTTTGAACCTATGTGCGGATTCACATCCTGCCTTTTTCCAATTTTCCACCTTTTGGCAAAGATCAATACGAATTAGTGCATATCATTGAAAACGGTCAGGGGCGTTCTTTAGTTAGAAGCGTAGTAACAACCGTCTCGTTATTTTATATATTTTCATCAAATATCTTTTGTTGCATTAACACCGCCTTTATCTACACTTCATAGAAATTCACTTTCATTTATTAATACTTTTTAGTGCCAACGATTTATGACCTGTCAAGCTTGTATGTATATACACATCTGTCCCGCTGATAGTGGTGAATGAGTGAATTTAATTCATTACATTTGAGTGTCAATAGAACAAACAAGCGGACATTGTAACAACAGGAGCTTCAAATATTATTTACAACCCGCTAATGCATAACCTAACATAACCGTTATTATGCTGTACATCTACGCACCCCCAACACCAGCGTTGCGCGCCTGCCATACAACACGCCTTCATTAAACAACAAAGCGAAAAACCCATTTAGTGTCAAAGCGCACTTTGCACTAGTAAAAGGTTCGCGCACGGACGTGCCACCGCTGAAATGCAAGACGAAACTGTAAGTTTGAATATTTTGCACACAAAGCGACAACGATACAAACTAGCCACCGCACACACGCTCGTCAAGGACCTAAAATGGATATTGTTATACCTAAAAGTGCTGGGTTTGTTGCCGATTTTCAAAATCACACACACCTACCAAATGGCCATGCCCAACAACAGAAGCTGCGCTGCGCTTTACACGCACGCCACGCACGTTTTTGGCTTTCTCTTAATTATATCATATATCTACATAGTCTGCTCGCCCACCGCGAACTCGGTGATTTTCATCTATGGTGAAATGGATAATGCGACGACTGCTTTTCAAATACTGCTCAGCATCACCTGCTACGCCATCGTATTTTGGAAGAGCGCCAATAAAGCGCAACCGTTTCTGGCCATCATCAACCAGCTGCTGTCCGTGGACCAAGAACTGCAGCAGTATCCACGCGCACCAGCGGCGCTGGAGAATAAATGCGACTTCTACAAGGGCTATCTGCTGATGCTGCTCGCGCACATTTCGACCTTTTGGAGCATGAAATGGATGAATTCGCATGAATGCAACTCGAGTATGATCTGCGTTTGCATATTCTTCATCTACCTATACATGCACGCAGTAATTAACGCTTATGTTGTATTTGTGGCGATTTTGTTGCATTTGTTGACTATGCGTTTTCGCTATTTAAACAGTTTTATTGGAATATATGCCGCAAAGAGGAACGCCGTGGGTTGCGCAGGGGTGTCGACGCAGTGCGGCGACGGCACGTGGGCTGGATGTGGGGGCGAGCGCACTGCGGAGGATGTGGACTTTGTTGTTTTCTCACAGGACATGATATTCTTCTATCGCTTGCACAATCATTTGCTGGTGATCTTTGAGACGCTCAACGATTATGTGCACATCGCGCTACTGGTTTTCATCGGTTACTTCCTCTATGGCAGCACCATTGCAGTGTACTATTTTTATTTCGCCGCGATATTGAGGGATGACATACAGATTATATCGGTGATATGGTGTGCGCTATTTCTCTGTTTGCATGGCCCGACGGCCGCTGTGCTGATGCGCAAGAGTGATGCGGCTGCTAAAGAGGTGAATAGACTCTCTGTTACAGTGAAAAATTCTCCTTTATTGAATATAGTACAGCTAATGAATATATAACAATTAAATTTCGTAAATCCTCAGGCAAATGCTACCTCATGTCATTTGGCGCGCATTTATGGCAGAGGCTTGGACCAGCAAAAACTGGTAAAAAACTATTTTTATTTCATAATTATATATATATGATTTTAAAATAGAAACTTCATAGTACTTTTCCTCAATTTTATAATATTTTTTTATTATACTTCTTGCTAAGATTGATAAATTTCTCACCAAGAGCATCAAGCAGAATATAAAATTCACTGCTTACGGTTTCTTTGTCATAAACAAGTCTACACTTTTCAAGGTTTTCTAGTTTTCAACATTCAAGTTGCTTTAGAAAAAGTTCAACGAATTCAACTCATTTTTCAGATTTGTTCAGCTATAACAACATATTTGGTCATACTCATACAGTTTAGACAACTGGAGGACTCAAGGGCTCAGAATTCAAAACATCGTGCAACTGATGAATTATAATGGTTTTTGCTACACCAATAATTGTAGATAAATAAAAAAAAAACAATTATGAAACGCATGTTTTTTTGTGCTAATAATTCTTATAAGGCCATCATGTAGAGAGATTTCTTAAGGGAGCGTACTACTAAAGCTCCTGTGGTCACTACGAGTGCTTTAGAAGCTTTAAATAAATTATATGGAAGACACTTCGTTGTTTGTTTCTGCAGAAGTCATAGGCAAGTTTCTGGATATTATCAGTAAAGACAGCCGGGTATATCATTTGTCAAGGGCTAACACAGGCTCTTCTCGAAAAACGTGATGCAAATCACTCTAAGAACTATACACCAGCAAGCGAACTAACTAACGAGGAAGACACAGAGTTTACTCAAGTATTTGTCCGTGTCTTAACTCCATTTGGAAATAGGGAATAAATCTCAACCCGAATACTTAAGAAAATGACAAAACAGTATATTGTATAATTCTGTACTTTGCATAATTCTAAAAAGATAAAGAATACTCCAACGACAGCAATCCGGGTTACTCAAACTGTGATCAACCGGTATTGCGCTGGAAAATCCGCTTAGGAGATTTGTGGTTCTTCGTAAAAACTCAATAAACGAAAAAAAGGTAACCTGGTCACCTTATTACTTAACCCGCGTTTACACAGAGAAAAATATTTCAGGCACAGGAATTATTGCCTTGAGTCAGAGCAAAGTCGACATTTCAACTTGCGCAAACCATACCACATCTTGTCAGAAAAACATATTTGAGGTAGAAATACCGTGTTTCAATAACTTTATGGATGTTAGTACGATACCACTCATCTACCGCGGCCACCAACAAAGCTACATGCGGAGAATATAGGAAAGCAGGCTAAAGATCAGAGACTGAGGGCCTCCCTTTTTAACTTCTAACCTTCAAGAACACGCCTTAAGCATACGAGTATGGTTTGACACTCAAAGAACTTGAATAATACCCAAAGCTGGATATTAAAGCACCCTTTATGTTAACAACAATCGCTACCGTCCTATAAGAAGTTCTCGAGTCCAATTGGATCTCCACCTAGCACTAGTAGTTATGCTGTTCTTCCATCTTTATATGGTAAGTCCTTACTAGATACTCCAGTGACCACGAAATGTTCCTCAAAACCTTTAACAACCTCATATATTACATTATACGCTTAGCAGAACCGCTACTCTCACTAATCAATACGACATTAGCATAATTGTGATCATATGCTGGATGTGTTGGCTCCATCAAACCACCAAGTTACAAAGCCACCAAACCTGTTTTCGTGAGATGCTGCTCTAGTGACATCATTTGTGTTCTTAAATTCTGTCTAGAGTCTCACACTGCTCGCTATTCTCGAATTAAGGTTGTAGCGAAGATCCAAGACGATCCGCAGTTTAGAACCACTCTTCCTGTCGTACTTCTATAATTTCCTTTCCGAACTGCGGTCTAACGGAGCACGCTTGATTGTAGCTACTCCCTCAGCTACAAGTTATGCGATGTGATCTGATATGTCATAGTTTCTGCTTGCTATTCTTTGTTCTATAAGATGACCATGCTCACTGTAGGGATAAACTTTTCTATCGTCTTCGTAGCGATTTGGATTAAGTGCGTATTTTGAGCGAATAATGCCTTCTTTGTTCTATTTTCTGCAAAGCGTGAGCAAGGTGCATCGTCTCAGCGACTGAAAACCTGTTCAATGCTTTTTTACTGTAGCTGTTGTGACTATTCTTCTTCTCCGTTCTTCTTCTTACTTTGGTGCCCTGTGGCTGGTGGAGGTGATGTCATCATCTGGGGTCAGAACCTTGGCATGCAATGCAATTTAAATTACCTATGGGTTATCCGCATGGATCTCTGTTTACCGCCTATTGCGCAGTAGGGTCAAGTTTCTGTCTTGTGGTAACCGTGTATCATGCTGTAGCTCTCATCCCATAGCAATTGTTGATAACTAAGTTCACAAAGATCTTACTGATCTAATCCCTCGCACCAACGTCAAGGTACCTGTTCTGGCGGTGGAATGAATATGTTAGAATGGCTCCACTAAAGTTTATTTTCTTTTACCCTACATGACGTGCTTACCTCGTTTGGTGGAAGTATTTTTAACACAATCCAGGAATGCGCGATGAATGATAGCTTCCAAAAAAATGTAATCCATATGGAATTTTGTTGCATTTTGAGTTCGATGAGTATTTTACTGTGAAAGTAATCAATTCTTATTTGTTCAATGTGACTTCGAACAAACAAGCATTTAGGCATAGACACAGGAAATATTATACAATGTAATCATCAATCTCCAAACGCTGTAAACACAAACGCGAACAGTGGTAAAAATGTATGTAAATAAGTTTCTGTTTCACTGTCTAATTCTGAATTTACTAAAAGAGCGTTTTTTTTTTTGTGTACCCCAGCGAAATTGCGTTTATTAAGCGTCAAATTTATTTTAATTTGTTCAGCACCTTTGCAGTTCCCACTAGAAATTCATACTCAGCGGTCAGTTGTCTCTGCAAAATATACTAAATTATAAGACCAACAGCAACATTTATAGAAAAAATGTTACGAGCTAAAGCAAGATCACTCAAGCAAGCTCTACTGGCCACCAAAAGGCATTGCAAAGCGCCGCGTGGAAAACTCACCACAGCTTACTGCATATTTTCGGAAATTAAATGGCTTGTGTATATACTCACCGCTTGCGGTCTATTGCCCTTTTACGAAATTATAAGTGATTCTGAAATTGCGCGCAAAAAAGGCTTATTCGCCTCGCTCTACACCACGATCGTGCGCACACTTTGCTTGCTGGTAATCACCACTAACTCGTACACTCTGTTCTCACTCACCACGATATCGTACTCCTTCTTCGGCAGTGTGGATCTTGTGAATTATGTTTTGCATATGTTTTTGAACATTTTTTGCTTCGCCGTTATCATATTCAGTTGTGCAGTCAAATCGCGTCACTTTTTGCGTGCGGCAAACAAATTACTGTTAATCGATGTGCAACTTCAAAGATATGCCAACAACACGGACTGTTTAGAAAACGAGTGTGCTTTTCAATGGAAATATTTTATATATTTAGGTATCTTCACAGTGATCACATTGCAACATATTGATTTTCATAAAATGTATAAGACCAGTTATTTTTTGTTGTTTCTATGCTATTATATAGAAACCAGCATCTGTAATTTTTTTATAATTTTCATCGCGCTCTTATGCCACTTACTCTTTTTGCGCTTTCGTTACCTCAATCGTTTCGTAAAGTCCTTCACTAATGGGGGACGAAATCAAAAGCTAAAGCAACAGCTCCGTGCTAAGCATTCTACGGAAAATCCAATTTTTTATATCACGCTACCCGAGGAGCGTGTACGACCGAAGCATGAAATACAGCAGGAAAGCTTTCTCAGCGTCAGCTCCTATATTTATCGCACACATTACGAATTGTTGAAAATTTATAAGCAACTGAATGAATACGTTGGTCACGCGCTGCTGGTTTACTTCATATATGTCTTTTATCTGACCTCACTGGCAATGTATCGCATGATATATCGGGCGAAAAGTAGCAAATTGTCAAAGTTCCCACTTTACGGTTTCGCTTCTTTGGTATTGCACATGAGTATTCTGGTATTGGTGACACGTTGCTGCAGCAAACTAACCGAAGAGGTGAGTCGTTGAGAAGTCAACAGAAAAGTTCCTTCCTTTTTATATGAAATTTTATTTGCTTTCTTAGGCACAAAAAATCGCCAGCATAATCGCAAATATTTATGGACGCAATGAGAAGAGTCGAAAAGTTGTAAGTATTTACACATACATAACTATATTATAAATATATCGGCTGAAAGCGTTATTTAACAGCACAAAAATATTATATATACGAGATGTGACCACTAAGTAATCTGGTTGGATTTCCTCGATTACCCTCGCCCCGGCCGCCTGGATCTCGTCAATCCACTCAAAATGGGTTCTTTTAACCACCGATTTTGTTTTAGGGAACAAAAAAGTCACAGGGAGACATATCGGGCGGAAAAGGCGGTTGTTGCAATACGGCGATCCCTTTAGAGGCCAAATACTCGGTCCCGCTGAGGGCGGTGTGGTACGGCGCGTTGTCGTGATGAAAGATCCAGTTACGAGCGATGTCTGGGCACAACCTGTTGACTCGTTTTCGCAATCTTCCGATTACTTGGCAGTAGTAGTATACTTGATTTACGTTTCGCCCCGGTGGACAAGAACGATAGCACACTGTCCCCAGCACCGCGCGGGAAACCAGAGCATCACTTTCATAGTAAAATATTATCCTCGTTAAGTAGCAAAATGGGATCCGACAGGCTTTAAACACAATCGGCGGAGAGTCCTAAATGAATGGCATTCTCACAATCCGAGCACCGCCTATTGCAGAGGAGAGCCTGTGCTGCACCAAGAAACCAGAGCATATCGTTTCCTGGGCCTCCCGTTAGTTGACTTCTACGACTTAGACTAATCTCGCCCGGCGTTGGAGAACAACTATAACAACAACAACCTCTTCCAGACTCTGCACTTGGAAATTACCGAGAATCTTTGAAGAGTAATCAAACCCTATGCTGTTATCACTCGTTCGCTCTTAGAAGGATAGTGAGACAGCTACAGGCTAAATGATCGACCACCTATGATAGTGTCACCCGTGAGAGTAACCATCAGCATCCCATGCGTTACTTTTATATAAGTAGGTAGGTAGACATAGGTCAGGTGTCAAAACACATTCTATGTAACGGGTTTCCCAATTATATGGGGTTTTTTTATATTCTCATAAAGGAACGATGAATTTGTTGCTTTCGTGATACGTAACGAGGTTTGTTCTTTTTTTTTTTTTTTTTTTTTTTTTTTTGAGAGAAAACCTTTCCAGATCAATACCATCCAATTCCGGCCATACAAATCATTAATCATCTCCCGATGTTGAGGCGGGAATTAAATCACTTTACCTTGACTTGGTTTAAGTATAACTGACTCCACAATCTGTAGAGCGTTTATTTATATAAATTTGTAATGTGACAATTTACATGCATGCATATGTGTACATAAGTATGTTTACATTAGAAGATTACCCACGAATAGATAATCTTATCTTATGTTTTAATTTTTATTGCTTTACATATTCATGATAAGAACATCAGTATACATAGATGCTTATGTTGTTGTAAAGGCATCAAGTATCAATACTCATATCATGAGTATGTGTATATGGACATCTGTTTGTACTTTAATTTTTATTGCCTGGCCTATAAATGTCATACAGCATATGAATTTATGGCCATACATTTTAATTGCTGGCTTATCGTTTCGGAAAACTAAACACCCGATATAGTGCAATACATTCGTTCTCCAAAAAGCATGGACCAATAACCCCGCCGGGCCATAAACCGCATCAAACTGTTACACTTTGAGGATGGAGAGACAATAATCTTAGGTCTTCCGAGCCCCAGATGCGCCAGTTTTGCTTATTGACATAGCTATCGGTTTGGAAATTGGCCTCATCAATCAAAATAATTTTTGGATGAAATTTTATAGCAAATCTTAATAATTTTAATGCTTTTTTGAAGAGTGTATTGCTAAAATTTTATTACTGGCGTTGGGTCTACTTTCCAAATACTCCACAAATAACTGCTTCAAAAGTGTCATTTACCGAAATATTGGGTTGCTTCTTCGCAGCTACAAGTCTTTCACGAACACGCCAATCTGAATCTACACAAGATATTTGCTTATACCCAACTAAGTTATCCTTTTGCCATAAAGAAAGTTTTATTAATATTTTGAAAGAAAAATATTCCATCTATTTAAAGCAATCAGTTAATCTGCATATTTTTTCATATAAAACGATCCACTTTCCGAAAAAAAAGGTTTCAAGTAGTTCGAATAAGGAACACAATTTTTATCAAGAAGTTCTTTCCCTGGTCCACTTCCTATTAATCTAAGCAAAAAGCCGGTTATGAACCTAATTTCGAATGTCTACTTAAAAAATAAAATGTTTTATGGCAGTAGCGGTGGCCACTTTTCGTATAAACTTTTCCAGGAACCATAGAAACAATCTGACACAATTTAAACCAATCGGTCGGTAAATTTTGAAGATTTGCGGATCTTAACATATGATTATTAGCCTTATATTATATTATATTATATTATGTTATATTATATTATATTATATTTTAATTTAATTAAATTTAATTTTATGTTTATTTATTTAATTTGGTTTCTTTTTTCATTTATATTTATTTATTTTATTCGATTTTTTACGTAATTTTGTATTTTATTTTATTTTGTTTTACTTGATTTTATTTTATATTATTTTTTTATTTATGTTTATAATATTCTTTACTATTCTTTACTTTAATTTTATTTAATTTAGTTTAAGTTTATTCTATTTAATTAAATTTAATTTAATTTTACTGTATTTAATTTTATTTTATTTTGTTTTATTCTATTTAATTTAATTTAATTCAAAATTTTTATATACATATATAGATTTCATAACTTTTAATTAATGAATAAATCCATATTTTTTAATATTCATTAAGATTTTTCTCTCTTGTCTTATGCCCACTTTATTGTTTCCTTTGCAGACTGATAAATTTCTTACCACAAATCTAAAGGCGGATTTACAATTTACTGCCTGTAAAGTATTCACCATTGACAACTCGACGCTTTTCAAGGTAAAATAGAGAGGATAAATAATTGTTTTCAAAACTGAAATGAAAAAATTAAAAAAAAAATTGATTTCATAACACTTTACAGTTGTGTTGCGCTGTAGCCACATATTTGGCCATCTTGGGACAATTTTGTCTACTAGAGAAATCGCGTTCGGAGCATTGAACCTACAACTGAACGAAAGCCAGAAGAAGTATCGAGTCCGCATTTTCGAAATAAATCTTTACACCACACGAAACTTTCTTCTTGCTCACACAATGCATTTAATATATTTTAATACAAATAAACATTGTTTTGCAATAATTAATTCGGCAGACAGGCAAATGTCTCCAATGCAAAATCACACGATAGTCATTTATTTAATGTAAATATTTCATTTAATAAAGATGATTCTTTACAGTATCATTCCTCTTTTACTGACAACGCCCGCGCTTGGAATTATTCAGATAGACATGTAAACATTTAAATACAAGTTGATGTAGAAATATATGTGGGACTGTTTACAAACCAATAAAACTGAGAAAATAAAATTCATTACTACTCCGTTTCCTTGAGCATCTAAATTTAGCACTTAAAAATTACAATTAAAAAAAAGCTTTATGAAAAAGGCCTGTAGGAAAATCCATTTCAATATTTTTTATTCGAATTTTCTGGTTTTCATTTTTCAATTACGACGCTTGAGTCATGTGGAATTTTTCGATTTTGTAATTATTTTTTTTTTTTAAATAACTCCTATAAAAGCTCAACTAAATGCGATTTTATCTCTAAAAATTTGAGAATTTTTTGTATAACTTGTTCATTCAAATACTTTTTAGGCAATCGGATAAGCTCTTTAACTTCCTAAGTGTTGCCATTCGTTCCCCAGCTGCATTTTTCCATTGAACTCTCGAGCATCGTCTTGTCGCCTAGACTCTCCTATTCACGAGTTTCGACCTCTCTTTAAGCTAAGTATATAGTATATTAAGTATTAAGCTAAGTATAAGTATATTTTTAAATTGTAATTGCAATGTAAATGCCAACCTCAGGCGTAACTTTCTTTATAGAAAAGTTAAAATAACGGAGGAAAATTCGAATTATATTGGGAACACTGTTGACAGTTTTCTCTATAGGAAACACTAACTCAACTTTAATTACTAATACTTCATTTTCCTTCTTTCTTCTTAACTGTCCCCTTTTTTCAGAATCTAAACTTTTGTGTAATAAACCGCTTTTTTTCAACAGTTCAATGTTGCCAATTTTCTAATATGTAAACCTATCGATAATAAATTTAACAACGTGTTCTATTTTCCCATAAAGAAATTACATTTTCTTCAATTGAGTGACTCGCGTTTCAATAACGCTCAGTAAATAATATATTCAGTTTGAAGCTGCAGCGTTACCAAATTTCATTTCATAATATTCAATAGTTAAAAAGTCTTTATAAAAATTTCCTACGAGGCACCCACCAGCAGTGAATTGCAAATGGACAATTTTCCTTAATTAAATTATGGCAGTCACGACGAACTCAATTTTAATTCAACCATAATTTTCAGTGTCTTAAATACTTTTTATTGTTATTATTGCACTTGTTTGATTACAAATAGACAGTTAGTGCCTTTTTACAAAAAATTTATAATCACTGGGATTCTCAACGAGTTAATATGTAATATTTTATTATTATTATTATTATTTTCTTAAGAGTAAAGGATACTATTTTAATTGGAAAAAAGTATATTTTTCTATAATAAAAACAATAGTTTAATAATTTTATTTAGGCGAACAATTTTAAATGGTAGTAAAAAATCATCAAATGATTAAGCTTAACACTTTAGTTACATATACATACATAAGTAACGCACGAGAATTTTATCGGCTCTTGGAAGTAGTTCTATTTTAATAAGTTTTTATAGTTCAACTGAGGAAAAAGTCAAAGTTCAAGCGCAGACCGCACAGATGACAATTTATGATTAATACGGAAGTCGGGTTGGAAGAACAAGAGCTCGCGGGGAATGATTTTTATATCCATTAATCCCGTTACAATTTTTGTCAAACATTTCGAGTTATGCCATGCAATTAGTAATTTTACAACCAAACTACAACAAGAACATTGAAGAAGATACAAGTCATTGGTTATTGTGCGTGACCTTATGACATCGTTTAATAGATATGAGTGAGTTGGTGGTGCTGTGAGACATACAAATGCTTTGAAAATTGCCGCTGCTGATTAAAAGAGATCCCTTAAAACTACAAGACATAACTTTGTTGAAATATAATTAATGAGGGAAAACGAAATTATTTTAAAAACTCTCGCATAGAGCTTCATTTGTCCAGAGTATTCTTGTGCGCTCTCTCTATCTCTCTCTCCCTCTCTCGGTTAAACACTCACTAGCCAGCCAACCGCCAACGCAAGCTTATCATGTGCGGTCATATGTGTGCATATGTATGTGGCAAGCGAAATGCAATTTCAGCGCTGATCTTCATTATGATGTTCGCCTCTGGTCAACATGAAATCATTGCTGGATTCGCTAGATACTAACTAGCTAAGTTCAAAGCGCAGCGCTTAGCGCAGCTCAGCTCAGCTCCGCTCAGCCGTAGTATATGAGTTCTGTAAATCGCGCGCCCTATCAGTCGCAGTTCTCTGATCAACGCAAACGGTACGCAAATAACATTAACTCGGAAAGTAACTCGGTATAGTATTTCTATTGGACAAGTGCAAAAAAGGGAAAATTAAATCCTGTGTCTTTTAGATTAAACGAATTTTTTTCTTTGTTTTTTTTTTCTGTATTACAATTTTTTGTTGTTGTTCGAATAAACAGTGCAGATACTAACACAAGTGCTTATCTACAGTTGCACAGCTGTAACTTGTGGTTTTTGCTCGACGTCATTTAAGAAAAAAAAGAAGAAGAAGATTGTCTGAGCTGGCGCTGAACGCGACGTAAATCACAAAATCGCGACTAATTTAAACTCAATTGACCTGTTTTATGAATTTGACGCGCCTGCTTCGCATTGCAGTTTGTGTGTTTTCTATTTTTTCTCAATGTATACTGTTATTCACTTGCATATTAAGAAATTGAAATGGACTTAAAATGCAAAAATTACTAAATTATAAACATAAAAACGTAATATTTACAAAAATGTAAATACAAATAAAAGTGCAAAATAACAGTGTGTTGAAAATGTCTATGGAATTGAAATATAGAAAATATTAAATTTGAATATAAACAAAAAAAAACATTGCCTGTGAAACTATGTACAGTTTTTGCGCATTTCCCGTCATAACAAATATAAAAATATTATTTTTATTATATTCAACCTAAAAAAAAAACATGCGAAGTTTGAAAATAAAATTAGTTAAATAAAAAAAAGTTTACAAATTATTTTGTTGCTAAGTTATATACATAGATACGAGTTTACAAGTTTGCAAAGGCAAACAAGTTTTCAACAACAAAAAATGGAAAGAGTACATTTAAATTTAACGACGCCTTTTCCAGCAAAAAAAAAATGTCATCATTTTGACACGAGTGAAAAACTTCGCGATATTTTGTTATTATTATTTTTTTATTTATATATATATGCATATATAATTGGCGCTTTGTAACCGCTGAAACGAGTTTCGGCCGAGCTCCTCCTTCAATCTGTGGTTTCTCGTCTTGATGCCTTTATAAGAAAATTAAGGGATCTACAGTTGATACTATGCTGCCCCCGAATGGCTGACGGTTTTTATGAGGAATTTTTCTTCATGTCAAATATACACTCGAAGGGATTCAAATTCCCTGCCGAGGAGCGACCACAATTAGAAAATTTAACTAAATTTTTTGTTCCAATTTATTTCTCTAAATTTTGCTTTGTTCTTCTTCTTTAATGGCGTTGAAACCGCTTACGCGATTATAGCCGAAAAAATTATAGCGCGCCATTCATCTCTTCTTTTTACTGTTTGTGGCTAGTTGGAAATACCAAGTACAACCATGTCGCTCCCCACCTGATCCTTCCAACGGAGTGGAGGTATCTGCACCGATTACTTTGAAGACGGGAGTGCTTTCATTCATTCGGACGACATGGCCTAGCCAGCGTAGCCGCTGCTTCTTGATTCGCTGAACTATATCAATACCACTGCATAACTAGTACAGCTCATCGTTCCATCGTCTGCGATATTCGACGTTGCCAATGCACAAAGGAAGAAGAATACTCCTATAGCCGACTCAGTAGGTATTGATATCAACCACGCTTCTGCGCTCTATATTGTAGGACGGGTATGAAGAGCGACTTGAACAGTTTGGTATTTTTTGCATCGAGAGGGAATTTTACTTTCAATTGCCTACTCAGTTCAAAGTAGCACCTGTTGGCAAGAGTGATTCGGTGTTTGATTGCGAGGTTGACATTATTGTTGGTGTTAATGCTGGTTTTTAGTTAGACGAAGGTATTTACGACTTCAAAATTATGACTGCCAACAGTGACGTAAAAGCCGAATCGTGAATGCGATGACTGTTTATTTAATGATGGGAGATATTTCGTCTTGCCCTCATTCCCTACCAGACCCATTGGCTTCGCTTTTTTATGGAGTGTGGAGAAAGCAGAACTAACGGTTGGGTTGTTGAGGCCAATAATGTCAATATCATCGGCGTACGCCAGTATTTGTACACTCTTGTAGAGCTCTGCAGCTCTTATAGCGGCATAAAGGCACCTCCTTCTCGTACTGTCGAAGGCTGTTTAAAAATAGACGAAGAGTTGGTGTGTGTCAATTCTCTTTTCACGTGTCTTTTCCAAGATTTGACGCATGGTGAATATCTAGTCAATGGTCAGTCTTTCGGTAAAATTTTTGTTTAGAGCAACAGGCTTTCGCAAATAAATTTTATATGGATGGAAAGAGGAAAAATCCTAGGTTCTAAAACCAATTTTCTTTTCTTTAGCAGACTTATAGTTTTTTAATAATTCTGTTTTAAATTTTGAGTAATAAATGCAAAATTACGTCTTCATTGGAGTTGCCGGACTACTAAGTAAAATAATACTCAAGTACAGAGCCCGTTTGTTTGCATTTTGGCTAGGCAGGCGTAGCCACTCAGTAAAAAGGTTTATAAATTAAGGATAAATATGCAGGAAAATATAATAAAAAAATTGTTTAAAAAATAAAATGCTATTCACTTCAAAATTTTAAGTTAAGTAAAACTCCCTTGTAAATTGGCGGCCTTCGGCCTCTCTCTCATCATTCGTACGAAGTTTCACGTCGAAATTCCTGGTTGTTTGCTTACAATATCAAGTGGGGCTGCATATTAAAGCTCAGCAAGTCTTTCATACAGAACGCTCTATAAAAATGTAGATGCGATATTTTAAAGACGACTACGCTGGCGTCGAATTCGTGTAGGAAAAATTGAGCCAAATGCACTCGTGCCTCTTTTTGGTCTAGAATCTTCGAAACCTCTTAGGAATAGTCTTTAAAGACCGTGCAATACTTCCATATGCAATTCGCCACTGAAAATTATGACGAAATCCGAAGAGAATCACATGGAGAATTTCTGTTTGTGTTGGTGGTCGAATTTCGTCTGACCTATCCTTAGCTATCTTGCGTTTTCTCGTCTCCATTTTAGCCGACCATTCTAAAATTTGAAAGAAAGATTAATAAAGTAATTGCAAATGATTTGGTATTATTAGATCTAACCTAAACAAATTGAAAGTCACGAAGTGACCGAACTTTTGTCAATCACATCGTGTGTATGCGTCTAATAAATATTTTAAAAATTTTTATTATTTTTTTTATTCATCCAAGAAATTTCTCCAGTTGTTTGGAACTGAGCGAAGTGAGTTTTTATTTTTTTTTGTTTTCGAAATTCCAACCCAATTAAGTAACAATTAATGTGCTCATATATTAAGTAATTAGCAAGCACTTTGTTTAGCTTATTTGGAAGTAAGTGCCAGCGTAGGAAAATCAGCAACACCATAAAAGAATTTTTTTAATTTAATTAAAGCAGAAAAACAGAAAGCTAACAATCAGTGTTAAATAGAGGTTTACTCATTCAATACACACACACCTTTATTAAACGGATACTACAATCAAAGACGCACATATAAATAAATATTCACATCAAAAACAATACACTGTACACTTGTACATATATATATATGAGTAAAAAAAAGTGAATCTTTATCACGCCAATTCTTTTAATAAAATTCCAAGTGACAAATAGCGAAAATGGCAAAGTAAATAATATAATTACGAGAAGGCGAAAGGAAGGAAAATCCGTGAAATTAACATATTTGAAATTACTGTTAGAGGCAACTCTTACTCTTCCCCCTTGAATTCACCACTGCCACACTGGAAACACCGCGCTATGGCAGTCATCAGTGAGGGCTTGTAGTCGCGTGGAAAAGCTAAAGCAACAACAAACAAATACAAAAATAAGCAAAAAATTATGAATAACGCAGAAGAGGCAAGAAAAGTGATAACGTCTAAAACAACAGCAACAACAACAACAACAGCACGTAAAAATTCTACTACAAGCGTCAACGCAAAAATGCCAACAATAATAAAAACCGCAATGTCAACGGCTACATCAGCTGCAACAACAACAACAACAAAACCAATAGCAACGCTCATAACAGACGCTATAATGACAACAAAAATGTATAGTTTGTTATGTAATAAACGCAATACGAGCAGCATACGAGTCAACAAGTCAAGGCAGCTGAACGAAAATAAATACAACAACAGTAACATTGAGAAATATACAAATAACGCCAGCGAAGCGGTTGCATTGCGCCATCCCTCGCTGCTAATCGCCTTCACTTTCGCACTGCTCTTCTTGATTAACATATCCTGTGCGACGAGTGCGCGCCCGCATGTGCACAAACAAACACATCTGGAGGCGAAGGTTGGCTCGCATGTGGTATTCAGCTGCCCCATTGACTTTCCGTACGACGTACCCATCGAGTATTTGGTCATATGGAGCAAGGAGGTAAATTAATACTCATACTTTGTGTAATAATATTTAAATTCCTGTGCGATAATTAAACAAATAGAAAATTACAGAAGCGTAGAACGAGAGAAAAAGAGAGAGAGAGAGGAAGCATTTCAAATGATTTGTATTGTTGTTTGTATAAATTATCTACGGACTCATTTGCTCTTATGCATTTCCAACCTATCTTAACATGAACTATTTTTAAACTAGGCAAGAAATGGTAACGAAGAATTCTCAATGATCTTTCTTTTTAGATACATCTCTTTAAGAATTTTGTCTTTTTTTTTTACAAATTTACTGATACCTTCAAGAAAAATGAGCATTAAATTTTGAGACAGCAAAGAGAGCCCAAAGAAAGCTATTGATATAGCTATAAACGGCTTAGAAAGATTGAAAATAAGAGCAAAAATGTTCACAAATTTAAACTTTATAGATTTAGTAAATGAGCCTTAAAAATACTGGAACTAAAAACAGCTGAAAGATTTACCACTAGAAAGTTGAGCAGATGATTTAAGCTAAGATCACTGGTTAACTGGTTAATTGGTCAGTTCAAATGGAGGTATGGAACCTTTCCGCTAGTAACCACATCTATGCCGTTGAGTAGGTCTCTTATGCTCCTTCGTGTGCATCAACTTTGCGTTTGTTAACATTTCGCTTTATTTTATTACTTGCCTAAGTTCCTTCCAACATCCACCGGCTTTGGGATGAGCAGACGTTATTGAGGTCACTCACAAGGCTGACATGTGATAAATAGTAGTACCCTATCTATATTGGATCTTAGAACCTTGTGATTTTAAATATTTTTGGAGGATTAAAGTAAAATTTACTGTTAAAGATCCAAAACTTAGAAGCAAGAATTTTATTTCGAGTTGGCTGTTGATATTTCCAGGAGCACATAATCTCAAAAGAGGTCTCTTCTGCCATTTAGATACTCATTCATGCTAATTCATCGGTTCAACTAGAACAAGAAAAGCTTCTGTCGCAAACGCAAGCCACGCCTACTCCTTCCTTGGTTGGTAAGGATCAGCGAAAGATAAGGGCATAGGAAACACATTCATATCTATACAGAATGTATGAGCAGGTATAGGAAAGCTGCTTCAAACTCAATGAACTCTGACTTTCAAGCCAAGTTCGATGGCATTACTGATGGTGTTTCAATAGAAAAACATTTTAAAGGGAAAATCTGTTCTCGTAGGCAGCCAAGTGGAAATTCAGCTGTTAAAAGACTTTCGCGGCGAAACATAGAGAATTCCCCGTGATTCCCAGGTCATACGGATGTAGAATGCGATATAAAAAAGACGAACCCTGCCACTGGTGAGGCCATCAATATTGACCGCCTCAGACCGTCAAACAGTAAGCCATGGAGAAACACATAAAGTCCAGGAGAACTTCCAACATAGGACGTGCCGCTAAATTATTGTGGAACAACCCTAATTTTTAAATGCTCTCAGCAAAATTGCAGTTGGCAATATTAAAGTTGTATTAATGGGACATGATCTCCGAAGGTTAGGTAAAGTCAAACGCTATGGTGTACCTTTGCTGGTGTTCCAAGGTCGGCCGACTGAAATGTCATTCCTGATGCTCTCAGCTGTAGTCTTACAGAGATGGTCATGCGTGGTTAGAAGATGTAGACATTCACGAACGGGAGTAATGAATCTACTAAACGGCTGAGGTGCAGCCGGATCAACCTCACTCTTTTAACCAACCAACCATATACATATACATATATTTATTTTGTTATTCTCGGCTCTTCTTAAGATCATAGTTTTTGTATTTACAATTTTAAAAATCAAGTTTTTAAGTTGCCTTGCTTATACATACAAAGTTGATTCTCTTTTACAAATCTTTAGAAAACCATAAGGATAGTTCAGCAGAACCTTCTATTAAATGAGGAGTAAAAGACTAGCACCAGACCAGAGACTAACAGTAAATTCATGTGAAAATATTTATTTATTCCGAAAATATATTTAAGTGACTTTCCGCCGAGGTCTTCCCCCAATTGGTGGTTTTGGCGTCTTGATGTTTTTCCAACAAATGAAAGGACCCACAGTTTATACTGAGCCGCCTCCGTACGGCCGATGGTTTTCTTATACTCGGAGATGTTGACATTCCCTGCCGAGGGGCGATCGCAATTAGAAAATTTAATTAAATTTTTTATTTAAATTAATTTTCTATAACCTTTGGATGTTGGTCGCACGGGGATATGAACCCGAGCCTTCCGAATGCCAGTACGCAATGCTAACCACTTGGCTACTGCGGTCGAAAATGCTTATGCTTAAAATGTGCTAGAAAAGAGTTGTATTATCTAATAGTCGTAAGGTGTCTTATTTCGAATAATTTAATATGAAAAGAATGTCCTTAGAAGCAGGAAAGTGGAAAACGGCTGCACATATTGAATGGGTTTCAGGCCATTAAGGCATTTCGGGAAACGAACGAGATGAGATTCCCAAATGAGATTTTCGATTGCGTTGACAAATATTTTTGGGTGGCGTAGAATGCCTTAATGAAATGAGGAATCACCAAGATCGTATGCCAAACCACCACGGGATCTCGAAAGAATTTCAGGACGGTTGTCGGCCTGACAAGAACCGAATGGGCATTAATAACGAACAGATATCTAGGAACTTCGCAGTTCAAAATACTAGATCAAGTACAAAAATTAAAAGTCAAGGCTCCCTTAGTCTCCGTAAAATGCTTTAACGTCCTCGAGCCAAACTGAACCTCCATCTGCCATCAGAAAGGTCCACCAGGTCTTTGTACGGCTTGACAGCCAGTCAGCACTAAACTTCGTTCCACTAAAGTTCGATTAAATTGCAGCAAACGTGCGGAATTATGCTGAATATTTTAATGGAATCGCAAGCAAGCTGAGAAATTTAATTGATCAACAAAAATTAATTGGTATCCACTAACGGTGTGGTGAATATTATTTGTATGCAAATAGCAATCAGCAGTCGCTTTTACACACGTACACACGTATAGCAATATTTGTATGTATGTACACGATATGTGACTAAGTGATATGCAAATATTTTCCAACGCTTTTATATTGAATATTTGCAATTGATATGCCATATATTTATATAATTTTTGAAATAATTCTATTTATGTATGCATGTGTATGCATTCAAAAATATTACAGCAATGCACATAAATTCATATTATTGTATATATACAGATACATTTCTATGTATCAGAAGTGCACAGCGCCGCATCAATCATTTTTTACTATGTGACAATTTAATTAAATTCTGACATATTGGTAATGCAGTGCGCAACATTTCACCGTTATAATGCCAATCAACGACTGTGGATCTAGTGATGATTAAATGCCATATAAATTTAGTATAAATTTCTATGGACGTGGGAATGCTGATGGCAGAAGTGATTGCGTTGGCTGAAGGACAAAAATGTAAAAAATTCAAATAATTAAAAAAAAATGAAAATATAAATAAAAACAAAAATAAAAACAGAAGAAGATATGAAAATAAATATAAATGGAAATGAAAATATAAATATAAACCGAGTTAACAATAAAAATTAAAATAAAATTAAGAATAAAAAGGTCCAAAGCATAAGAAATTTTCCTCAACTTTTTGAATTAAAAAAAAATTCAGAAATTTTTTGAATGAGAAAAACATATGGCCAAAAAAATGTTTTATTGACATAAAAGGAAATTTAAAAAAATGTAAAAATTAAAATCATGAGCATTTCACTTTCACTAAAGCAAATCCACCTTTAAAAATAAGTCGGGTTCTATAAATGCGGATGATTGAAGAAAAATGATATTTCATACTAAAAAAGATTACGGCTCGTCCGTGTTGATCACTTGATTCATAATCATACAGACTATTTCACCTGCAAATCGTAAAGACATCGACCCTTTTCTGAAGTCGATGATGACTGGTGATGAAAAGTGGATCACTCACCCCAACTTCAAATGAAAAATTTCAGGGTCGAAGGGCAGTGAGTGGGCACAAGCGGTCTCCCAATCAGAATTTACTATCAGTATTTGAATTCACCATCTGAAAGAAGCAATCACCCGGAAAGGCCCAACTTTTGCCAACAGGTGAGGAGTTAGAAAAATTCCAGATAACACACAATGGTAGTGACTTGCCAGAAGCTCAGGGGGCTTGGTTGGGAGTTTTCTATGCATCCACCTTGCGGTGCGGAGCTCGCACCAAGTGAACATAATATCGGCTTCTGTCTATGTCAAATAATGTTGTTGGTAAAAAACGGGCCTCAAAAGAAGTCTTTAAAAATCGTTTGTCGTAATTTTTTGCCAACAGAGAGAGCAAGGCATAATGGCATTAGCATCAAAATAGCTATGAAAAAAAAATTGTTTTTCCATTAATGCAAAAATAATGTAAAACTTTTTACTAAATTCATATTTTTCTTCACTTATGAGGAACATAAAAGCCACAAGAGCTTTACATGTTTACTCGATTGATTTCGGTTTTTATTTTATTAATAAATATTTTACAAAAATTTTGAGAGGTGAAGAGAGTAAAAATAAAAACAGAATACACCAACTTTTAGCTTTAAATGTCACCAAGTATGCATCAAAAAACTATTTTTTTTGGAAATAAAAATTATTTGTTACGCTTTAATTTTAATTCTTTTATATTCAATAAAAAAATGTTTCTTTAATTTTCTCTACAACCGGAAAAAAATCAAATTTGTTATGCTCATAAAAATCTCATCATTTTCCATTCAATTACTCCACAATAGCCTAACAATAATTAAAGCTATTCACACACATTAAACCCTACCTTACGCACACACACACACACACACACACATCACACAATTGGTCAATTTTCCCTTTAGCTGCCTATTTTTTACGCTGAATAGCGTTAATCACAACACGCCCAGGCCACCGATCGCTTGGACAGCGTTTATTAGCCAGTCTCCGCCAGTATTTAGCAGCTCACTCTTTTCCACAGCTGTTCGTTATTTTTTTTCTTTTCAACGGTCATTTTATGGGTCATGATGTCATC